GCTTTGAGTCTATATTGCTTTTGTTCAGACCCCATATTACCTAGGTCTTTTGAGGTTAGGCTTCAAGGGCCTTTGGGTGTGAGGATTTCGGGTTTAGGGTTTGGGTGCGGGGTTAAAGGGTTTGAAATGGGACTCAGTCTTCTGAAGGGGCGATTTAGGGTTTAGGGTTTATGACAGAGTTCATGATCTGGAGACTGGCTTCAGGTGTTTGTAATTCTTGCCGCGGAGGCTCGTAGATTGTAGGGAGCGCTAACCCTTGCAACCTTCGGCCCTTAGGGTTTAGGGTTTTTAGGGTTTAGCCAAGCTAAAGTAGAGGTGGGCCATCAAAGACCATGCCCTGTAGCCCCTGAGTATCTACATACTATACCCCCAAATCCTTTCCAAATACGAAGGCCGATGTATCAGCACAGCCCTTATTTAAAACAACTTCCAAGACTCCATACAGCCATACAACATGCTAGTTGTGGATGTAGACCCTTATAACGCGGATGCTAACACAAGGAGGCTTGTCAAGCATGGTTCTACATGCTTATGAACCCCTACAAAACCTTGCATGTCCTTACTTGAGCTCCATAAAAAACCTCACGGAGCTCCACCAAGAACCCTATACAACTCCACTTTAAATTCTTCACCGAAAATCTCTGATAACCCGTTTCAAAGCCAATCAAGAACCTATAAGACTTATTCCAATAGTAGAGGTAATTCTTTAGGCGCCCATAGTATCCAGCGTTTCGTGGGAAGAAGACCTCTGTTTATAGTCTAGGTAGCTCTGTAGGCCCCTTTTGTAGGCTTCTGCGTTTCCTGGGAATACCCCTTATAGTAAGCCTAATAGGACCCTTTTAAGAACCCTTTATATAAGTATTATCTAGCCCCTATAGAGTAGGCTTCAGCCTTAGCGTTTCGGGGACGAAAAAAGAGGAGGCGCGCGAGGGCCAGCGGAGCAAGCGTCTGGAGCTCTATCCCTTCCTCACCTGAGCGGTCGGTCGGTTACTTTAGGAAGTTTAGGGTTTTAGGGTTAGGGTTTAGGGTTCCAGAAACTTGGTTGTAAAGGATGTATGCAGTATTCTGGTTACTTCAGGGTTCCAAAAACTCGGTTGTAACAGATTTAAACAGTATTCTGGCTACTTCATGGTTGCAAAATATTTGCACAAGGTTCTGTAGAAGTTAGGGCTTGGGTTACGGTTTAAGGTCTGTCAGATGTTTAGGGCTTCAGTCGTTTTAGGTCTTCTATGGGGCCTGTTCCTAGGCACCGTAGCCTCAGCTGAGCAAGAGAAGCGTCGAGCGAGACCATCCTGTGCGAAAAGTGGGACATTGCAATTTATGGCTTATGGTTTTGGGGGCTGTTGATGCGGGATGTTGCTGTCGTGGTGCGATCAATCTGAAGATTGTGCCCGGCCTTTTCAAGACAGTTCTGATGATATGCCATGGGCCGTTTCCAGATCGGGGCTGTCGCGAAGGCTTCCAGTGGCTCAAGCTCCCTCGCTCTCCGGCCTTTGTCGTCACATTCCTGCTGTCAGCATGCTCGAGCTTCATCTGCAAATAGAAGAGCCGTGGACATGAGCTCAGACTTTCGTTCAGGCTTTGGCGATGATGCAGGGGGATATCATTATGTTGTGACTTCCGGCCGTTCAGGCTGGTCTCTTGTATGCAGGACGTTAAATAAAAGCAATGATAAAGCATGCTTACATGTACGGATAAGTGTACATTGTACATGAATCAGTTACAGGGACCATTGCATCCTTGATAATCTTGCAGTGCCAGAAGCTTGCCATTCGCCCAGACTGGAGACGTTCGGCCATCAACCCGTTTCGGTAATTGTTGCCGTTCTGGGTTGTATTCACCTCGAGCAGATTCTGCACTCGCTAAACCCTAAACCCCAGTAGCGATCTTTAACGTGCAGTACTGGGCCCTCACATGCGGTTCTTTGAACCCACAGACGTCATCCGGTTGCGTTTGTGCTGATGGTTCGAGATCCGCAACTAAAGATGAATCGTGTGGTTATGGGTGGGGATAGTCTCGCAATGTGTTGGATTTTTCTTGAGACTTTTGAGATGCAGACATGTGCCGCGAACCTTTCCAGCTGCCAGCAGTGGAGTTCGCCTGCGGGTAGCATTTGCAGGCACAGGGGACCCAGTAAGTTGGTTGTCAGTCTAGTCAGCTTAGAGTTACGATAGCCTCGACGAGTCGACTTGTCACCCCAGGTGTAGCCCACTTACTAAGTTCCCATAAGTTCCCTGCTCCTTCCTGCTATTTCGGGAAAACCGTATTCAAACTATCAAGGCCCCTGTACGAAGTTCCGATAAGTTCCCTGCTCCTTCCCACCATCAAGGACATGATCACGATCCTGTCCGCAGCCGGCCTGCAGCAGGAGCCTTCCATGTGCGGTGCTTCCTGAGGGTTTAGGGTTTAGGGAAAGTGCAAGGCTACATTTAGCCAGTTTTGTGTTTTGGAATGCGGGCTTTACGACGACATGGTTACCTCGAGGCTGGAATTCAGCTAGAAGCACACACGAGGCTAGGTCACAGCATATACTTCCAATCGGCCCGAACTTCGAAGCTTTTATGAGTACCAGCAGCCCAACAAGATTTTTCGGTCTTTAGACCTAGAGCCCTAGCGCCAAGCCCTAGACCGCGTAAGCTCTGACCACGGGACTCTGAACAAGCTATGCTCGAAGGCTCTCATGACCAGGCCTGGCTTCATAGGTTTTTGAACATCTGCTCGGGCTTGGGGTGACCTGGTTCTTGGGGCTCAGGCCCCTTTAGAAAGTTCAAAGCTGCTTCTGCTGCACGGGGCACCTTGATCTGTGGGCCTTGTGATCCACGACCCGACAGCCCATACTGTAAAACCCCACCGACAGAAACCCTAAGTGAGTGTTCAATGCTTGTGTTTTTATTGGGGTTGGGTTTTTTGGTCTGTGCATTGCACCTCCTTGTCCCCAGTTGGTGCAGACGGCACCCCATAAACCCTTGACGTGTGCGTTTTTGCTTAACGGATTGCTCAGTTTCATGATGGGTCCAGGGGGCTGTAGAGAAAAAAGCGTCCCTAAACCCCTAAACCGGCATTTCTGGTCGTAGGAGCTGGGCAATACCTTCGACGGCCGGAGCCTGGTGATCAACGAAGAGGAGTCCTTAACCACCGGGTTCGGTTCCGGGCATTGGGGCTTCTGGCTTGGCCTTTTTAGGATTCGGTTAAACTCGTGGGTTTGGTGTTGGGTATTTTCGTCTAGGTTCCCCTGTAGTGCCCTGTTGCCCTCATTTTGTGTTTGGGCTCCCTGACTAAAGCCAACAGGACAAAGGTACCCGTATTATTGAGGGGTTACTGGAAGGCTTAGGATTTAGGGGTTGTCTTTAGGATTCTGGGTTTAGCGGTTTAGGTCTTGCATACCAGGCATCAGGGTTTGCGGCTTGAGGATTTTGGGTTCTACTTGAAGGACCATGGCCACGAGGAAGTCGCTCCTCCTAGTCGGGTTGACTTGTAGCCCTTATTCTATGCTACCTTGACCCGGAGTAACTAGGCTCTAGAAAAAGAGATAGGCCCTGTTATATGATGTTGTTACTTTTGATGGGGGGGACCTTGCCCCAGAATCGGTTCCAGCTCGGGGGGTGATTGTTCATTTAAGGGCTTTCAGCTAGTTTCGAGGTTGGATCACGGGTTAGGGGTTTCGGGTTCAAAGGGTTTCTGTTTTACAGGCACGAAAACCTTGAGACTAAGCAGACCGTTAACACAAGCGGGCAATTGGCTGCCGTTGTGAGCTGGAATATGTTTAGGCTCTTATGCAGCCAAGGGTTTTTCAGTTTCTTAGATTTGGAATGTTTTCGGCATTTAAGGCTTCAGCATTCAGGGGCTCGGAGGTTCAGAATTGGGTTACACCTCAGGGCTTTAGAGTTTAGAGTGTTGGGCATGTTTACTCGGAGCGGAATGCATTGAAGATGTATGGTGTGTGAAGGCTCAGACACAGGATAGGGCTTGGTAGGTTCAGCGACCGAACAAGGCACGTCTTGCAGGGTTGTGGAGGTGTGGGGCAAAGGCATCTTGCTGTTCAACGCATTTCGGCCCTTTTCCGGTCAAAGTGTGTCATGCTCGAGGCTCAGGATAGTCAGCAAGTAGGTTGTATCACTAAGCAGGGCTGCAAAGCAACAAGTAGGGTAATGAAGACCAGAGCACCCTATGAGCCCCCACTGTAAAACAAAACGTGTCAGCAACAAAAACCTGAGCCAGCAGGAGAGCGGAAGCCCCATGGGGGAGGCGGCAGAGCAGGTGTCGGAGACTTTGGAGGCAGGAGAGCAGCCGAAGTTTCCGAAGCCCCTTATGAGAGCTCGAAAAGCCAAGCTCTCTTAGGCCCCGTAGGTCGGAGGGGCATTATTCTCAAACTATGGGATCCCTTCATCTCGGACATGTTTTTTATATCACACCAAAGTTTTGATCTCGGAAACTTATGTCCTTTGACGGAAGTATCTGGGCGTCATGGCGGAGCTCCGGGGCCTGAAGGTTATTCTAAGTCATGGTGGTTAAGTTAGGCTTTAGGGTTTGGGGTTTACGATTTAAGGGGTGGGCAGAGAAGGCCCTGCTTTTGAGGAGTGTTCGCTGGCACACAATCCAAGCCCATGCTGAAAGAGGGGTGGGCAGAGTAGTTAGGGCTAATTTGGCGCCACGAATTGCACCAGCTTTTGTTACGTACCAGTTTGACATGATCTTGGGTTCGTCGTCTATAGGACTCAACCGTGGTGTATGCTTCAGGTCCAGTTTTCCCAAACCTCTGTGAAGCAGAGTTGCCGGGACCACCTCAAGTTTTATCCACATGATTTTTGCATCTAGGGAGTTGCATTGTATGTTCTTTTTCGAGGATCATCTTCATGCTGCAGCAGCCGGAAACAGGGATGCACACCCATGCGATCTCGCAGTGGTCCATACATACGGTGGCTCAGGAAAGCGAGCAGCTCAGAGAGACGACTTGGAGTTCCCTCCTCGCCCCTGCAGTGCCCAGCTTGCAAGGCGCCGAAATGCCCCAGCAGTCCGAAGCAAAATACCTCTGGGACCTGACCGAAGTCCCGGCTGGCTGGTCCCTGGCCACGGTCATCGACGCTTTTGTCCACTTGGCTGCTTATGCTCCTGCGGATCGAGCTCTTGAGGCGCTGAATGGGCGGCTCGTGGAGCTCTGGGCCTCGCAGCCGGCGGAGGCCCAGGCCTGGCTCGAGCGCTTGGGAGAGCTGAACACGGCGACGAGGGCGGAGAGGCTCTGCGAGGCGCTGCGCCGGCACGGGGCGGCCGAGTGTGGGAAGTACAAGAAGTGGGGCGGCTGGCGCTTCTCCGAGGCGGGGCTCCTTCGAGAAGAGCCATGCCGCCCAGCAGCGGAGCGGGAGCGCTTGACGGCTTTGTACCTGCTTAAGTTCCACACCCGCGCTCGCTGCCGGGAGCTCGTGGAGCGGCTCGAGCAGGCCGAGAGCCAGGAGACGGCTCGGAAGCGGCAGAAGCTCGAGGAGGAGCCTTCCGAGAGCCGGCGCCTCGAAGCGAAGCTGCAAAGCTCGCAGGAGGAGTGCGAGCAGCTACGTAGCCGCTTAGCTGCAGCAGAGGCGGAGGTTTCCGACAAGGCCTCAGGGCTGCAAGCTGCTCAAAGCGAGAGTGAAGAGCTTGCGCACCGTGCGGCAGCCGCAGAGTCAGCTGCCGCGCAGATGCAGAAGGAGCTCTGGCGTGTGCAAGAGGAGCACAGCCAGTGCCAGGAGCGTTGCGAGGATTTGGCTCATCGTTTGGAGGCGGCAGGGGTTCAGAATGCTCAGACCAAGGAGGCCTACGCCGCCGCTGAGAAGCAGTTCGAGGTGCAGCGGACGCAAGGAGAGAGCTGCAGCTACCACGCGCTAGAGGGGAGCAAGGCTGAGCTGCAGATCCAGAATGCAGTGCTGCAGGAGAGATGTGATCAGCTCAGGCAGCAGCTTGCTAAAGCCGAGGCGAAGGTGGATCTCCTGCAAGGTCTGCGGGAAGAGATCGGCATGTACAAGGAGCGCCTTCGTGAGCAGGTCATTAAGACCAAGAGCTGCCATCGCTTGGATGGTGGCGGTGGCACATCCAGCGATCTTCTCACCCGGAATCTTACCCCAGCTCCCAGCGACGCAGCCGTTGACTTGGATGATGAGAAGTCGGATCTTGCCGAGCAATTGGGGTACAGCCTTGTCGATGAAGATGGAGCCTCCGTCCTGAGTGGTTCCTCCGGCTATTCGGTTCAGCAGGACTGCTTCATGCTGGATGCAATCTTCAAGAGCCGCATGGACTTCTTTTGCCAGGGGAAGGACCTGCAGAAAGGTTCGCAGGTCGTGGCTGGTGATGGTGAGACCATTTTGGAAGTGGTCGAGATCTCGAAGGAATCGCAGGCCACGAACGTGGTCGACCTCCAAGCGGGCCAGGCAACATTGCGAGTGACCCCGGACCACCCCGTGCAGGTCCCCGATGAAGGTGGCAATTCGGGACGCCCTCTTTACATGCCGGCGGGCAAGCTGAAGGTGGGCGAAAAAGTTATGCTTGACTCAGGGGAGCGAGTTGCGCTTACCAGTGCCGAGACACGCCCCATGGAGTGCAGCGTGCTGAAGATCGTCTTCGAGCCGGACTTGCCTGTGGCCGTCTTCTCCAGCCCATCCTGCATCCTCAGCAAGGGCCACAAGAAGAAGACGCAGGCGGGGCGTCGTGGTGGCATGTGCCAGAGAGGCAAAGAAGCTTCCGATCCGATGGATGGAGCTTCGATTCCGGACACGGCAGCCGGGGAGTACATGGACTGAGCTGAGCCCTCCAACCGTGCTCAACATCGAAGCTAAATTCTGAGCCCGAGAATATAATTTACGGAGTTCCGCAACGCTTTTCAAACAGCTTAGCACGCGGCCTGCCCACTACGCGTGCCTACACGGCTGCTTGAGCGAGGTGTTGCCTCTGCATGTCGGAGTGCAGCGCACGCCCTCTTAGCCTACATCGTCGTGATCATTTAGTGATTTTAGTGATTCAGTAGGCATTGGTACGAGTTCAGTTTACAGAAGACATACAGGCCAATCTGAATGCGGCAGCTGTCAAAAGTGTCGTCGGAAAGATTGCAGATCCGATATGAGTAGTCGGATGTAAGCTTTGATTCGCAGTGCCTGCACCGCTTCGGTTTTTCAATCTGTCAGTGTAGAGTTTGGGCTCGAAATTTTGTATCCCTGCGCAGAAGGCGACAGGTTGGAGCTCGATAGTTATTGAGAGACAGGCTAGTCTTGCTCTTCTTCGTCGTGGAGCAAGAGGGAAGCTATGGGAAAGAGTGTTGTGAGGCTGGCTTGCTGAACCTCAAATGTATACTGACTGCTTTTTCGGGGCCCTGCGAGTTCAAACGACGGAATCGGGCGTTTTTTTGCAAATTGAGTGTATCCATTCTCGAAGAAGTCACCATGTGTTGGCAAGACTCGTCATGTGGGGCCCCTTTCTCGAGCCGCTTCCGAAACATGTCACTTGGAGCATCGTAAGCGAGCTCTTCTGCAATACCTCCAAGTCTCAGTGAGCGCGATACCCCGAGGCCCTGGAAAAAGGGAGCCAAAGCAGCGCATTCAGTTGCAAACCTTCACTTCCGAGCTTCCCATGGTTCGCTTGAGCTTTGAGGGGCGGAGGCATGCGGCATGCCCGGCGTAATGTTTTGTGTTTGCGTGAGGCCTCTTGCTACGACTCGTTTCCCGAATTTTAATGGGCATGCCCGGCGTACTGTAATGTCTTGTGCTTGCGTGAGAGCTCTTGCCACGACTCGTTTCCAAAAAAAATAATGCTAAGAAGCCCCCGAAACCGATGCTGTGGCAAGCCGAACCAAATCTCATGCTGTTTCTAGGCCATTGACAATACCTTGGCTTCCGGTTTGACCGCGGCCACCGGGAGCATGGAGACGGCCGCGGAGCATCTGAAGCTCCTGCAGCAATGAGCGTTCGGGGGAGCTTCAGGATCACTTATGGACGCTAATATGTACGAAAACACTGTCTCCCATGTATATACTTCCATTTCTTGTTGGTGACCGGGTTCCCTTTTAAAACATAGAGTCCTGACTCGCCGATTCGGTACAAAAGACAGAGCAGGCTGGAGGGTAAAGGTGTAGCCAGGCCTGCAGTCGCAGAGCTGTAAAGCTTCGGCCAGCATGCTAGGGCTTTCAGGGGGTTTAGGGGCTTCGGGTTTAGATATACTTTTCGAGGTGCCAACTTTTGGGGTTTTAGGGGTTTCGGGTTTCGGGTTTAGGTATACTTTTCGAGGTCCCAAACCAACTGGCAGAGTATGGGAAGGCAAAGAACCTGGAAACAGGTGTTCTGTTCTGCAAATGAAGTCAGTCGAGGTGTCATCAGTAGCCTCAGTCAACTCAAATCCAATGCGTCGTCGTCATATGACTGCGTCACCCAATCAGAAGCAACCTAAAACAGAGTCTAGGCTGTAAATGAAGTCCCAAATGATGTCCTTTTCCATAGAGCTCTTTTGTAAGGGTTCAGATAGTTTGTCAATTTACGAGTCTTTAGATTCTATGGGTCTTTCACATTCTAGGTTTTGCCAGACTGTACGACTGATAGACAAGCTCGTGCATTGCCTGAAGGACCTCTTTATGGTTTGCGGTTCAGGGGTTAGGGCTTTTGGGAGCTTCAGGCTCGTAGATTTGCGGCATAGTTCGTAGTATAGGAGTAATGCAGAGGTCTGTCAACCCCGTCAAATGGAGAAAAGTCATGCAGATGATCGAACCGGCCCGCACAGTCGCACGATCCTTCACATGGGGACAATCTGACAAACCTGACATGATCAACAGTGTTTTTCCGTTGATTCCCCATGTGCATGTTGCCTTCTGGGTCAGTCAAAGTCGCACGCAGTCGATTGATTCAGCGTGTCTTCAAGTCGAAGCGCAGATCGTAAAACCCCAAATCCCCAAACCTTTGATTAAACCCCGTACGCATCCCTGCACACAGCATTTCATTTTGGGCTTCATTCAGGTCCAACATCTTCGATGGCGTCGAGACAATTCTCGGAGATGCTGCCTCTGCCCTCCTTGGTGGAAGTTGCAGCTCCGAGTCCAGCGAGCCCGCACCCAGCAAGTCAGTGGATTGAACCGAGCTACTGGCATGAAATATCTGCAGCAAAGGAGGTGGACGATTCGAGAGTTCGGGTTGGGAAAATCGGCTGTGAAGTGGATGGACATGTATGATCGTTGTTGGGATTCGATACAGGAGATGGTCATAGCTAGGCAGAAGACAATCCCTCCACTTTGCTGTTGATGCTCTCCTGCAGAGGCTGATTCGTGTGCATAAACTTCATTTGCGCGAGTGCTTGGGCACTGGTTGCGCAAGTTGTCCCCTTTCAGACTGCAGGGGAATCCTTTGAAGATCTTTGAAGACCAACTTTCCATGAGCTTTCGCTCAGCAGCTTCTGCCCATACTGGTCTCTCTCGTGCGCGAAATACTCAGGGAGCCCTCTCCTAAATGAAGGGATGCTGATACGTGAGACTAATTGGGGCTATGGGTGGTGTTAGTTACTGTTAGTTGTGGTATTCAATATTCTGCAACTGAGGGGTTTTCACAGTCAGACGGATTCAAAGATGGGCAGCCGTAGCTGATCCACACTTTTATTCAATACCAAAAACCCTTAGACAGATCCGGCAAATCATTCGATCCTAGATGCAGGGGCACGTTATGTGTGGGTCCGCAAAACTCCTGCTCCTACGGCTCACGGTCTGTAGTAGAGTAGAGTCGTCACAATGGTGGATCACCCCCAAACCCTCAGCCCCGTCACTGCCCTGTAGTTATATGGGGCATAGCCCTACACCCGAACCCCAAACCCTAAAACCAAACCCCAAATCCCCAAATACTACACCCCAAAACCCAAAACCCCTAAACCCTGAATTCACAGCTCTCACCAGAGTAGTGAGAGCGTAAACCCCATATCTCCTTGAATGCAGTTACGGACCTGTGAAACTGTGCTGGGAGCACGGGACCTTCAATGGATCCTGCATAAGGTTCTATGAGCGAGGGTCTGTCAGGGTTGGGGAGCTTTCACCAATGAGGATGCGAACCAACAACCTTGTGATATCCAAGATTCTCCATTCCAGAGCGCCCCTGTACCAGCATCATCATCACTTCTCGTCGTCTTCAGGTTCATCATCTTCATCATCATAGGCATCGCACCGTCCTTGTTGTTAATCTGCTTGACCGTCATTCTCCAAGTGCCACGACTTCCGGATCGGGCGCTTTTGGCTCCAAAGCTGTTGGTCAAGCATGCCTTTAAAGACAGTTTTTTACGACTGCCGGTTGGGCATATCTACTCATTTAGTGAGGCTTAGTTCCAGGGCTTAGGGCTTCACGGTTATTCAGTTTTGGGTTTGAGAGCTTCAGGGGGCAAAGTTTAGGGCTTCAGTTCTTCGGCTGTAGGGGTTGAGATGCGGGTGGTGTAGTTGGCGGCACCAGCCGGCTGGCCAGCACCCCACCCACACCCTCGAACTCTTGAAGCTATCCTAACAGCCCGCAACCCCCAAACCCCAATCTGCGAAAGCCCTTACCCCCCCACAGTGGTTACCGCCATCTGCCCACAGTTGGGGCTCCACATGTACCGACCATGCAGCCAGACCCGCAGCCAGACCAGGAGCGATCTGACCGGCGTCCGATATCCATCGTCTTGTTTTGTTACTTTTGGGCTTTTCTGTTCAGGGTTTAGGGGTTTGGAGGCTTTGTTGGGTTTGTGGTTGAAAGGGTCGAAAAGGAAGGACCTTTTTGCGAGTTGTTCAGGCTTTTGGGATGAGGGCTTGAAGGGGTCTCGGCTTCGCGAGATGTGGTTTGCTGTTTTCGAGTTTCTGGGTGTGGGCCTCATAGTGATTGTCGTCTTGATTCTAATTTTTCAGGCTTCTAGGATGTCTAGAGTTTAAGCACAGGGTTGAGGGTGTTCAGGCTTTAGTGTTGGGAGTGCCGTAAGCATTCATACACTGCATTTTGGCACAAGGAAACCATATTCGTCTTGGATCAACTGATCCATTTGTAGCAAGGTCTTTAATAGCATGAGATGTACTTTAGGGTCCTTCAGGGAAACCGTCTTAAACCAAAGAACAGCTGAGATTTTGGGAGAGTGGACTCAGTGTCTCTGCCTCGTGCTAAGCCCCCAAAGACTACATCCGAACTCTCCATCAAAACACCCAAATCCCTAAACTCATAGGGTTGAGGGTTGAGGGTTATGGAACCCTAAGCCCCAAGCCCAAAATTCCCAAACGCTGCATCCGAAGCCTCCATCGCCGCACAGGCAGCTTCTCCGGGCACGCGTCGGCGGCCGCCGATTGGGCGGAGCTGGCCTTGCTGTTGTCACAGTTCCAATGTTATGAGGGGTTCATTGTTTAGGGCTTGAAGGCGGCCTCAGGGTTTAGGGCTTATGAGGCCTTTTTGGGTTTAGGGCATATAGTATAGGGCCTTCCGGGGGCTTGCGGTTGGAGGGTTTAGGGTGTAGGGAGTGTGGCTCTTGAAGGCACGAGTTCTCAATTTGATGGTATATCTGGTCTGTCTCTTGTTGCATGCGGGTGCAAAGCAGGTGTAGATACATGGGAGTGTTGGATGTAAGTGACTGTAATTTAGACCTTAGGCAATAGGATACCTTTTCTCCGAGCGTACTCGGTCTGTATTTGAGGGGCACTTGTCCCCAGGATCCTGCCATTAACTGCTTGTTTCAGGGACATCAGGCGATCTGCATTGCGGTTGTTCGTACTTCATGCGCGCCACACCGCGGCAGTTTCAGTGTTCAGAATTTTTGGGGGAGGAGGTCATGCGCAAATGTGGTTGCAATGGAATGAGTTCCTCGAAAAGTGCAGACAAAGGTCCAGGGGTGCCGATGGTGTCGATGTATTGCCGGCCAAGGTGATGGCTTGTCGTATAATGCCGCGGCCGTGATCCAGAATTTTGCCAGCCACATGGCTTTGTGCACTACTTCGTAACGAAATGCATAATGCCCCACGCATTGAAGTCCTGGTAAGCCCTGCAACACCAGTGAACGCTGTCAGAGTAAATCCTAGCGAGTTAGACTATGGATTCAGGACGTTTGGTGGCCTGAGGACAACGATACTCTACACCCTAAAACCCTATTCCAAAATGAGACCCAAACCCTTCAAAACCAGATGCAACGCTATACGGCCCTTATGCACCCTATATATATATATATATATATATACCTCTCTTTAAATTGAGACCCGGGGCCAGGCGCCTCCACCTTTTGTCCATTATGGTCGGCTTGGTCACTCTTGGAGGTTCGAGCCTGAGCACCGTTTGCCGAAGATGGCTTCGTTTTGGGGGGGTGGGAGGTTCGAAGCCGAGGTATGGAGGGTTTGGGAGCTTGGTGCATTTTGTTTCGTTGGGGTCTAGCAGCGTTGGAGTCTAGGAGTGTGAGCGTGTAGTGCTTCAGGGGTTGAGGTATTGGGGGTGGTACCATTAACCCCCCAAACCTTCTTGTTTAAGGACGTATATATAGACATGATAATGCGGAACCCTGAAAAGCAAGTTATTAGGGGTTCAGGTAGATCTTTGAGATTTTGTTGTTTGTGTTTGATGAGATTGCCAGCTTGGGGCCGCTTAGCCAGCAGTGGGCACGAGGTTGACGGAAGCTCTCAATCGTTAGCCACAAGGGTTACTTAGATGTCATTGGGCGTACCCGAAGGGTTACGATGTGGGTTACAACGCGTTAATTACTGTAAGAGCTACTTCAGGGTTCTGCCCCGACAGGGGCTACTACAAGGCCTGGTTTATGTTCGGTCAGAGCTACGCTACTGTATGAAATTAAGCCCCGAACCCCAAGCTGAAAAGCCATGCAAACCATTTTCAGCACGGCCTATGAATGCAGTGCATCGAATCCAGGGCTTCTATGAAGGCTGTATATAGGTGGAAAGAGCTCCATACGTTATGAAGCGTGAAGCTTGATACTGCCTCTACAAAGCCAGCTTAGAGCGTCGCGCAGTTCCCTTGCAAAGCCTTGAGACCCGAAAAGGGCACCTAGAGCTTCCATGCCGAAGCGTATATGAAGCCATCTGGGTAGTTGTCAAAATTGTGGTCGCTTTATGGGTACCCTAAATCATGGGTGCCGTATTATAGTAGGGACCCAGGAAGGGACCATAATTTCGACAATAACCCATTTATAGAGCCCTGTCAGACGCCTTTGCGCCGCAGCTTGACACGACTCAAGCCTCTAGGGCCCTGAGCAGCCATGGTGGGGAAGCCGGTGACGTCGCAAGCCCGGGCTGGCATCGCGCTCGGTGGCCTTGGATATGAGCCTTCCTGGAGCAGCAGCCTGACTCTGACCGTGCCGGTAACCATCAACCCTAAACCCTGAACTCACATGTAAGGCCGTCATCGACAGAAACTCAAAGTATCAGAGGTCTTATATCAAGTCGGGCTCGTCAGGGTTTCATGGGTAGGGTTTGGGTGCAGGGGCGTTTTCATTCCTGCTTGCCAACAGAAAAATGGAATGCTTTATTTTGAGGTCCTTATAACAATTGTCGATACTACCCGAAATTACCACCCCATTGCTACGTCCAATGAACCTTCAGCAGATGGTCATCGCAACGCCTGGCTCAGGGCGTGTAGGGAGAGCATCCGCAGGAAAACCGTTGCCCCTACTCGCAGCAACGGTCGTAGCAGCAGAGGGTCGCAAAACAACCGCCTGGAAGCCCTGTTCTTTCAAACTGCGGCTATGATGCTGCTATCATTTTCGGTCGTCGGAGTCCTGATCTTAAAGTCCGTGGCCTGAAGGAACCCCGGGGTCAGACAGACACCCCGAGGCCTCGAGGAACCCGGTAATCGAAGTGCCAGGGCTCTGTCTGAGTCTGGTCCAAGGTATCCCCTTCGAGAGCTATGACGGCATGACACAGCTGCAGTTTCAGGACATGCTTACTGCAACGATCTAGAATTTTGGGGCTTAAAATCTGGGGCTAGGGTTTAGGGCTTGGGGTTGGACCGCTCGTAAAGACTACGACTCTTGACTAGGTGCAAATGTAGTCCGCTACGGAAGCTCCTGGCCTCTCTTCCCTGATCTGGTTGAAGGTCGTCGTCGGAGTTTGAACAAGTGGCAGCTCTATTCCCTCGAGTGCTCCTAGTGTCAGTACAAGATGGACTGCCTAGCAGTAAAGCCACTGCATTACACGCACGTCAGTTTGACATTTCGAGAAGCCCGTCGTCTCGCCTTCTGACCACGCTTAGTCGTCAGGAAATCATTGTAAGCCTTGATCCCACGAGAGTCTAAGTTTTGAGCCCCGAGACTCAAGATGAGATCCTTGATGCCGGGAACTAAACCGTTGAGGCTTTGGGGCTTGGGAATGACTACCAAAAACCTAACCACAAAACAACGAAGCTCTCAAACGCCAAACCCTAAATGAAAGACCCGGAACCCTAAACTAAGGCCATTAACCTCTAGAAACCCAAAACCCCAATGTATCAACTGCAGGAGTCGAACGCTCCCTATCTCCGCCATGGTGGTGAGGCGAGGATTGAGCCGGTAGGGTTTACTTCATGACATCAGCTTCCGGCGTCGTGGTTTACATGCAGAGTTTGTTTCTTGCGAAGACTAGAAAACCAGAGCGAGATAGCAGACGCGGTGCATCATGCTGTGTCGGTTCCTAGCCCAGCTTGCCGAGCTAGGTTCCAGGAAGAATGAATATAGCTTGCAGATTGGTGTGCTTTAGGTGCATGTGAGTTGAGCGTAGCTGCGGGGTTTTTGAAGGCCTTCTGAGTTTTGATGTGTGATGGTGATGAGAGGTGCCGGCATATCTACCACCGGGCTGGCGCAAAGTGGAGAGCAAGAAACCAGGCATCGCGTTGGCAGCAAGGTAGACGCGGTTTAGGCTTTGGATGGGTTTATGTACAAGGCGATGTTCGGGAATTCAAAGGCACTGTGTCTACAGTGTTATATGAGGAGATAAGACGACATTTTCCGAATGCTTCAGTTAGGAATAGTATTGCGTGAAGCTGAGCGGTAAAGGATGTTGGGTTTTCGAAGGCTTCCAGTTCGTCATCCAGTACCATATGTTCGTGAGGCTCTTGCCTGTTTTCCAACTTCAGCTTCATCTTATGAAGTATGACTCTTTTTGCTATCGGTTCCTCGTTTCTTGCTTCCGAGTAGTTTCAAAGCAGCAATGACGCAAACTTACGTGTGGGTGGGGTGTCTGTATCGTGGTGAAAGAAACGACCACTTTCTTCAAACCCTAAGCCCGAACCCTACGTCAGGGCACCCAGAATGACATAAGCTGTCGCCAATGCCCTAAACCCCCAAACCCCTAAACCTTACGCGTGCCGAACCATCGTGCAATCAAAGGTCTGCTGATCCTGAAAATAGTCGTTGGGTACATTTATAGGGGTTTAGTAAGCTTGGACAGTTCAACTCTAAACCCCAAGCCTTATACACCAGAAGGAGAAGTCTGGATACCAACAAGTAAAAGCATGTTCCTTTCTGTAGTTCCGGCTCAACTCTGCTGGCTATAGTGTAGCCTCATTCCTTGTTGGTTTTTGCGGCCCCTGTGTCACATACTGCCAGACTCATGCTGGCACACTGAGAACGGTACGAAGCCGCATCGAACCCGATAGAGCGCTATAGAAAAGTACACCCTACCAAGCGCTATACGCCATAGGAATCCCCCTGCACCCCAATCCCCGAAACCCTCCAGGCATATCCCAGTTGTGAGTGCTGAAGCCCTATAAATCCTAAGAGCCCCTAATCCTAGCATATCCTAGCAGCTCCCAGCCTTCACCCTCAAATCCTACAGAGCCTTATCTCTACACCCTTCGGGATATGATATCAGGGTCTATAAGCCCCCTGAAGATCCCTAAACCCCTACTAAAGCCCCAAAAATCCTAGGAGTTCCCGGCCTTACCCTAAGAGCCCCAAAAATCCTAGCAGTTCCCGGGCTTGAGGCAAGCATCTCTACGTGCATGTGGCCTCGGGCACCATCTCCCACGTTCCCGTGGACATCTTCGATCCGAAGGCTCTGTTTTGTGGGCTTTCCTTTAAAGGGTTCCTTTTAACGGGGTTCCGTTTTTTTTGAAGGGGTTTCTTAAAGGGTTGTTTACGGGGTTTAGGGTTTAGGGGTGGTTTTCGACAAAAGGCACCTTAAATGGTTTCTTGCAGGGTTTAGGGTTTGTGGGAGTTTTGAGCAGAGGTTGGATGCAGGTGGTTGAGCCAAGGTCAGAAACACTTACATGGAGGATTGGTGGATTGTGTAAGTGCTTCAGCAGTGCCAGATTCGGAGCTTCGGCCAAGTTGCTGGATCCAAAAGCTCCTGTTCCGGGGGGCGGTATCTTGCACTATGTAGGAACGTAGTCAAATGACTTAGGCAAAGCCAAACTCCTTAGCAGTCCCAAATGCTCAAAACTAGGCTACGGTGCGAAACCCTAGGGAGCCATAAATTCCATGTTCCCCATTCGCCTCCCGAGTCATGAAATCCTAAATCTGAAAGCCCTATAGGACCCATGCCTAGCCAACGCAGGCTGGCACGTGGGTGGAAGTGGATGCATCCAAGAGGGACAAGAAGGCCATGGTTCACCTTCTTTGGGATTTAAGACTCGCACTCTCATTCCATGCAGAGGACTACTCTTCTTCAAAAGGGGGTTAGGCTATGGGTTTATTGGCTTGAAAGGTCATGCCCATGGACCCCGCTAGCCGCAACGAGCGATATTCACATGAGCTTTCAATGTCGTCAACCTTGCAGATGATAGGGCCTTAGTGAAGAGGACATCGATCTCGAGACTGGACGCAAGCTTTTCGTTTTTTTTTAAATTGGGGTCCTTACGAAGCAACCATATGGCCGACCGTATCCCTTCATATTAGCAGCAGCTCATGCCGTCTGTGATCGCTACCTGCCAAAGCTTGACGATCGCAAACCTGAACATGAATCTCAAGCCCCGCAGCCGAATTATGCCCAGAGCGGTTCTTCGAATTCTCGGTATTTATGGTGAACCCCAGAAAGTTGGAACATTGATTCGGATTGATTAATGCTAAAAACCCTCTACTTTACCTTAATGAGGATAACGATGTTGCAACTTTCTGGCTTCTACAGTATTTCGAGAGGCCCCATCCCCCTTCACAAAAGGCGGCCCATCCCCCTCCACAAAAGGCGCCAGTGGCTTTGCCGCCACTGCCAACGCGACCAGCACCGGTGCCGATGTTGCAAAAATGGCCGGGGTGTTGGTAGTACTCTTGCGGTCTGAACCTTACCAAGAGTATCTTGACATGGTCCAACAATGTAACCAAGGCCACTGCACTACAGCTTTTGGGAGGTAATATATATATATATATATATATATATATATATGCATATAGAAGCAATACGCTTGGGGCGAAGATGTGTGTGGTCATACTGCCGGACACGAAACCTTGGGAAACCGCGAGAACTCTTAGGAGGCGTTTTGACTTTCTGGAGGTGGCGGAGGTCCCGTCATGTTGCCGTAGCAGCATCACCCTTAGCGAGGCTCCTAAATAATTGCCGCTGCTATTCTAGGGTTCCTTATTATAGGTATAGTAAGTATGGTATAATAGCCCCCCAAACCCTTTTCTGGGTATTAAGGCCAGTATATTCGTCAATCTAGTCCTGTTCCGTGGCAGCTTAGAAGCTTACCTATAGTCTCCATTGTAGTTCCTTTTTTTGGTTTAACCAACTATATATTCAGGATCCTATAAGGTAGACTGTAGGTAAATTTTTGATTTTGGTTTGTAAAGACCGCGTTTCCAGGCGCAGGCCTCGCCGGCGGCGTTGCCTCCACCCTCGGGTGGCTCCAGCGGCTCGCTGCCGGCCACTTTGGCTGAGTCAGCGGGGGTGAATGCATCATAGGGTCATAGGGTGTATATGGGTTTAATCAGGATTTAGGGTGATTGCAGGGGCCTTAATAACTAGTAATCGTATTTATCATTGCGGCTTCCTAACATAATTGCAGCATAAAGCCCTCCAACATCCACGTTAGTCCCCTTATCCAGGTGGCTGTTTCGTAGTTCAGATCCTTTGGGCTTCAGGGTTTTAAGGTGCAGAGTGTTCACGGTTCTATTTGGAAGCTGACGGGGCCTTGTAGGTGTATTATACTCCAAACTCTACGACCCGGGTTGATGTTGGGGTGCGGGGTTCAGGGTTTCAATTCGTGCGGTTTTCCATTAAACCCTAAAAAATCCTAAACCCCAATGCTCCAATTCAACGTCAGCCTTCAGGTTTGGAGACTGCTAAGAGTTGGCTTCCATGGCGAGTTTGCTAGCGGCTTTAGGGTGTTAGGCAGCCTTCTTGGGACTTCTACATGGGTTCCGTCTGGGCTTACAGGGTTTAGGGCCTTGGAGTTCGGGACGCCGCCAAGAAAGAGCTAGCTTTAAGGAGGAAGGGCGTAAACCCGTGAAGGATACAGGAGAACAGCGCCACCCCCCACCAATTAGGGCTCTTGGTCATAAGAGCCTTAATCAGAGACTCCCCAAAGTGTCTAGGTCTTCGGGGTTACGGATAGAGATCCTGCCCTGATGGATCGATATTGAGGAGTTTAGTAGTCTGCAGTCTATATGACCTCAGACTCTGAAAATCGAAGCCCGCGCCCTAAACCCTGCCAGCCCTAAGCCCTTGCAAATCTCAGGTGGCTTTGCTGTTCCCTGGCCAGGGATCCCAGTATGTGAAGATGATGGCGGGAGTTAAAGACCTGCCGGCCGTGAAGGCACTCGGGGCAGCGTCTTTGTTTTGGGGCAGCGTGTTGTGTGTGTTTGTGTGTCTGTGTTAGGTCTTGAGGGTGCTGGAGTTGTGATCCTAGTAGGAAGTATATTTGCTTCTAAACTTTGTATCTGCAGTGAGGCTAGGCTTGCACACAAGCGTAGTCAGCTCGGCTCAGACTTTGCCATCTCCAAGCGTGTCCATATATGCAACTATTGTGGAATTAGGCCCTCAGAACCCTAACAAGGATGGTCTTTTAGACCTAATTCCGCCCTAAACCCTAAACCCAATCCGCCCTAAACCCTAAACCCAAGTGCACGGATGGTGGTATAGGTGGAACCTTAGGGTCTGTCTTATCCCTCAGCCTCCGCTTGGTGCGAATGCCCCCAGCCCTCATCTCGGGGTCGCTCCGGAACTTCGGCGTTCAGAAATAGGGTTTAGGGTTTAGGGTTTAGGGTTTGGGGTTTAGGGTTTGGGGTTTAGGGTTCAGGGTTCAGGGGTTTGAAGTTTACAGTACAAGCCAAAAAGTTGGAAACCCGATAGCCTCAATCCCTAAGAGTAAAGTAGGAGTAAAGTGTAGGGAAACCCGGCACTATTTGTCCCGAATTAGGTTTAACTTTTTGGAGTTTGCTGTAGGATTTACATGGGTTAGGTTTTATGGGAGAGGGGCTTCATCAAGGAGCCCCATCTGCAAGAAACAAGGCGTTTCTAGGTTTCGGTGATCTCGAGGCCTGGGGCTCGGCACAGAGTCGTTAACCCTAAACTTCACGCCCTGGATTCATAAAAAAAAATTAAGCCCGAACCTTGTCCTCAACACTACATCCTAGTCCCTAAGTCCCAATTCTCCAACCGTATGAAAGGCCTAGGTGTCTCTTTTCAAACTCAGCCGCCGTGTGCAGGAGATGCTGGAGACGGCCAACAAGATCTTAGACTTTGATCTGCTGGACTTCTGGCCTTTTAAAGTTTTAAAGTACGTAAAGTAACTACGGACTTTAGGGTTGAGGGCTTGGAGTTTGAAGGTTGTTGTTGTATGGGGTTCAGAGGCCTGTTCATGGTTTATATCTGTATCTACTTATCTGTCACAAACATGTGTGCATACATGCTTACATAAATTCATGCATGCATATGTATGTGTGTACGTACGTATGTAGGTACGAATATAGTTATGTTTGTAGAGCCAGACGTGCACTCATGGCAGGTGTGTAAGTGGGTGGATGTGTCCAGACGAGCTGCGATAAGCATCTGGGCTGTTGGCAGCATGTTTCTCGTATAGTGCACCCGTGAAGAGGCTACCACGCTTATCAGAGCCGCTCCTGGTAGCTTGTGATGGCATGTTCCGCCATGGTCATTTATCAACACGGGCCCTTCACGCCTTTCGAGTTGTTCTTGCCAGGACTGGTTGTGCGGTTCGCTAGAAATGCTTTGCTGCAGCCACATGAGTAGACCCTTGTCAATACACCGCCATAAACGTCCAATGATCAAAGCCCAAAAACCCTGAACCTGAGCATGCCAGGTCATGACAAGAGAGCAGACGAAAGTTGTTAAACCCAAAACCTCACAACAGCCATGTGCTGAGCTTCTCATGAACACATCCCACCAGCACGCGCGCCACGAAATCCAAAATGTACGAACTGGCCCAAGAAGGCACTTCCCTCACTACGCCCTTCGTACCCTGCGGTGCGACCCAGCCAGCTAGGCAGGGGAGGCTAAACCCGCTTTTGTCTGTGAGGAGCTTTGCCTCAAGGGACCAGAAGCAGAACTCGAGCAGCTTGGAATAAGAAGGAGAGGCCTATAGTCTCCATTGGACATGAGTGGTTTCGGGGTTTGGGTTTAGGGTTCCTTTTTTTGGTCTCTATAAGAACCCTAATTGTAACTGGGTTAGCCAAAGCAAACAACTACGACGGAGACAACGGGTAATATGGGGGCCTTAAATAATTACCTATACTATTGTGGGTGGTTCCTTATTACAAGTATAGTATAATGGGCCCCAAACCCTATTCTAATTATTAAGGCCGCTATGGTAAGTCACACTTTAGAGTTTCGGACCTGGCCCACCCTGGCTGGGGCGAGCTTTCAGCATCCGCTTATCAGTTTGGGAGTTTCCGAAAATTAAGCGTCAAATAAGGTCCTTATACTATTTAGGGCAAAATATTTTGGTCCCCTATTTTCGGAAACCCCCATCTGGGTTTTAGAATGTAGGACTCCCTCCACCCCCTAACCTGGTTCTTTAAAGGAGTTTCGGCTGGGGCTGAAGCCGTGCTCTTCAGGATGATGTGTGTCCGAGGCTTCGAGGAAGGGTGCGGGGTTTCGGGTTTAATTGTTTAGGGTTCAGGGTTTAGGGTTTAGGGTGATAAAGCCCCAAGCCCAGTGACAAAAAGGTTTAGGGTGATGTGGGGCTTAGGGTTAGGGGTGTTCGGTTGAGTTTTCTCTTCCGTTGCAGGTCCGACCCTGTGGCTATTTTGGGAACGGGTGTTTGTTCAGCTACCAAGCATCTCATCAGTGTGCGATATTATGATATGGGAGTTTTGTGTTATCACTGTGACGAACATGAAAGAGCACATGGTGCTTGTGTTCCGCAGCCCTCCAATGTTTCAACTCAGAATCCTGGTTTCAATCATGGGTCGTTAAATGTTCAAAAGGTATCGGAACCCTAGCACAGATTATTATCAAGACGAGGATCCTCCCCAATTAAAGCTTGAACCCGGGAAGCATTGAACGCGAACCCCGAGTCTCGAACGACCTTCATCTCGCGATACTGCCCCTTCCCGAGGCGCACGAAGTTCTGCCAGCCGGCCATGTACGTAGCCGGGCTCGCTGGCATGGACGCTGATCCTGCACGAAGCCTTGCATTTCGCGTTTAGGATGCGGGGTGCTTGCATGGCATTCAATCAGTCCAGGTTTGAATATAGGCCGTAAGGTGTAGTATATGGGTGGTTGTCAAAATTATGGTCCCTTTTGGGGTCCCTAATGTAATACGGCACCTAATATTTAAAGGTACCCATAAAGGGATCCTAATTTTGACACCCACCCATATGTTTTAGGGTTTGTGATGAGGGGATGTCTGGGCCTGGGGTGAACATGGTTTCAGATCTCCAGAAAGTTCGGGTTGTGGGATGAAGCAACCCAAAGGCCCCAAAGTAGCTCCTTTTTGGGATTCATATATAGCATCCTAGAAGGTAATCCCAAAAAGGAACTACTATGGGGCCTATGGTAACCCTTACGCCCCACACCCGCTTTCAACAGTATTCAGTCCCTGAGGTGCCCAAAGCTTTGGTGTCTCTCCTTGCCAGACCTTAGTTTCAGGATCCTTTCTTATGCAGCCCTTTCGGGCCTGTGCAAAGTGCAAACAGGCTGAGCGGGGATGGCCTGCACGTATTCTGTGACTGTGGATAAGAACACAGAAGGGGCTTGGTGTCCGATCCTCTCGTGGTGTTGCAAGGACCGGGTAACTACCGGATGTTGTTCTCTTTCAAAGAACGGACGCCTTCATGCGCACCTCAGGTGGCACCTTCTCCCACACCCCGGCCTGAGCCGAAACCGAGAACATCCTCCCCCCCAACAAAGAAATGCGACATCTGTGCAGTGCAGTCTGAATTCTCTCCTCTGGGAGCCGCCAGAACATGAACTAGCGCAGGAAAGCATGACTACAAGAGGATGGGTACTTTTAGTTTATGTTTACGTTGCATATTCGGCCCCGTTCCTCAGGAGAAGCTGAGGTCCACGCAGCCGGAGAAGGCAAGTCATATCGGGGCCTGAACGATTAGGAAGAGTCCCTACGTACTACGAGACTAAGAGTGCAATATACCCCCAAGCCCAATTCAATTTCTTAAGGCCTCTGGGCCCAGCTGAGGAGCAGTTCCGTGTTGCTAGAGTTACTGTTGAAGTTTTGTCACTGGATTCAGGCTGTCTAATCGGGTTGGGGTGCAAGTTTGGGTTTAGGGATATGGGTGTAGTGATTATGATTAGGTTTAGGATTTAGGTTCGGGGCTTTATCTTCGAGAAAGGAGTGCAGAGCCGCCCTGTCCAGAGATGTGCGAACTCGAACCCTTTTTCGTCGCGCCGCTCCTGAAGGATTTACGAATCCTACGAACCCAGATAGTATAGGTTCTATACAGTGGAGTAGCAAAAATAGAGTGCGTGGCTCATATCCCATGTAGCGTATATGATTCTGATATATAGAGCCCCATAGCTTCAAGACTGTCAGAGTCATTTGCTCTCCTCTATTCTTGCCGGTGTGTGTTTCTTGATATTCGGATTCAGAAGCTGTGGGGCGGACCGAATGTAAAGCGTGAACAGGACAGCAGGTAAGGACCCTCATGCAAAGACCAGCCGGATACGTGCTTTAACCCGAAACCCCGACCCAGTTGCGAGGGTGCGTGTGAAAACCCTGACCAAGCAGTTCTGAACACCCAGAGCAGGTTGATCGTCGCCAAGCTGTCGCTGGGCTCTCTCTTGGAGAGCACTTTGGCCACAAAGCAGACATGTAAGACAGAAACCTGGGTGGTTAGCAGTACCAGGCATGCCAGTAGGGTTCTGTACTATGTAATTAGCTTTCCCAAAAAAACCCGTTTCATCACTCATGCCACAATCTTACGCCTCTTTATGCAGGCGCCTCCCAGGCTTCAGGGCATCAGGATGCCCAAACATGATTTCTCGGCCTCCCTCACACCAAAATCAGGGTCTGATTTTTGTCCCTATAGAAATGTTCTACGGGGTATCTCACCAAACCCCCAAACCTAATTTTTGAAACCTCTTATGTTAAACCGTATTGTAAAGCCGTATAAACCTAGACGGTCATAATACCACCTTATTCTAAGCTTTACACAAGTCCCCTTTGTCATCCTAGAGTGTTCTTCCTCAGTAGTTGGAGGTTTGGAGGTTGGCTGGGAGTCTGGTCTCGGTGTCGAAAAGGACAATGTGTGTGGTACGAGAGCTGCGGCGAAACCCACTTTGCGAAGAAATTGACCTGCCGAAGTTCCGATCTGGAAATACGGTTCGAGAAGCAACGCTAGTAATGGTGACCATGACAACAAGCGAGCAGTGGGAGCATCGTCACGACATAGTCTTCGTCATACTCACAGAGTGATGAACCCTTGTCAGCCTTCGGATTCTACCGCTTTAGCACATGCATGCTGCGATTTCCATACTCGTCGCCATTTGCTGTTCAAGGACCCCTAAATCCTAAACCCTAAACCCCATAACCAGGAACCCCGCCCTGGCATGTCCGACTTTGAGTGCTGAAGCCCATAACCCTCCATGTTCTCAGCCTCATCCCCCTAAACCCTAAACTCCCTAAACCCTAAACCCTGAACTCTAAACCCTAAACTCTAAACCTTAAACTCTAAACCCTAAACCCTAAATAAAACTCTAAACCCCAAGCCCTAAACCGCAGGTACACAGCCCTCACTGCAGCCGGCGTCTTCGACTTCGAGACCGGGCTGAAGGTTGGGTCTCGGGCTGTGAGTTTAGGGTTTAGGGCTTAGAGTTTAGGGTTTCGGGTTTAGAGTTTAGGGTGTAGAGTTCGGGGTTTAGGGTTTTGGGGCTTAGAGTTTAGGGTCTAGGGTTTAGGGTTTTGGGCTTAGAGTTTAGGGTATAGGACGAGAGGAGCGTGCTGCAAAAGGGCTTATATAGAGCGTTTTGAAACGATTTGCGGTATGGGAATCAAAGGCAAAAATCCTTGAAATCGAAGAGTTGAGGGTCTGAGTTGGGGTGGGCTTCAATAAATTAGCGTTGAAAATATGTCTACACACACACATATATATATATATGATAACTAATATATATATATATATATATATGTATCTATGTATGTATGTATGTACGTATGTATGTATGTATGTATGTGTGCGTGTATGTATATATATATATATATATATATACATATATATACATAGAGAGAGAGAGAGAGAGAGAGAGAGAGAGAGAGAGAGAGTGCGTCGGAATGCAGGCCCGTGTTTTTCGAGCGGAATAAGCGAGTTTCAGTACATTCTTCATGCTTCGCAGGACTTTGGGCTCATCTTTAGCAAAATCGAACACAATGGCAAAACCTGCTGCAAGTTTACAAATATGCTGAATGGTAGCTGATCAACACAGTTATGCAATAGACAGTTGATTTTGTGCTCTTAGGTTACCTATTCGAAATATTCGGGTTTGCCACCCCTTCCATTTGCTTTAGACCCAGTAGGTATGCTTGGGGAACATGTCAGATGTTATAACCTATTACTGGATCTTGACATTCACTGTATCTTTCAGGGTTTTAGTTTATCATCAATTATGCCTCGTTGGTTGGGACAGAAATGCCACAGTTAGATGTTAGTCTTGGCTCCCCACCATGTTTGTGTTAAGTTGGGGAAATTCCACATATCATTTTTTGTTGGAGTTTGAAGTGTTTCTGACCTAGTGGGGTCGATTATGGATTTTTATCCGCAGTCTGCCGCCAAGGATGAACATATTGGACATGCCACCCATGTATCCTGATCAGAATATATCATGCATTGAAATTTGCTACCCTTCTTCGGGATGATGAACTGAATTCCATCATCTCCCTTGAATTTTTTAGGGCTTGCCACCCAACTTGTCCAATATGGTGGATTGTTGGAACCCAATCGTGATGTTAGTGTTTGAGACGCAGCATCTCTTTCCCATATCTTATTGTAAGAGTTATATGTATATGTATATATATATATATATACATATCTGTCAAATATCTTTTACATAAACTGCATCATGTCTAATCATTATTAACCGTTTGGACAGCCTTCCACTATGTCCACTTGTTTTTGGAAAGTTTCGTTTCTCGAACCACTCCTCCATTCTAGCCCTTTGTGAACTTTTACCAGTCTTCCGAGTCAATTGTTTCATTGATTGCTGTCATCTTGTCTGTGTCTGCGCAATTTGGGTCCATCATCTTTAGTCATATCGATGAAGATTTGGCCACCTGCCCGTTACTCTTATTCATATCCTGCTGAGGCTGTGGTTCGAAAGCATAAGGCAATCCCTGATAGGATTGGGGGGGTCCCGCCAATCCGCTCCGCAGTTTGAACCGTGGTTATCTGAACGAACGATTGGGTTTGTCATCTATCATCTCGTATCAGGGCTTATGCATGTTTTGGGGAATGCATGCATCATGTCTGATTATGTAATTTTCAATCACCCAGTAAAACAACATGATAAAACCGAGTGTTTCACCCAAAAGCACAACATTGTGATGGGGTTGCAGAAGCCTTCAACTTTCTAAACCCTAAGGCCGCAACAAATTCGCGTGTGTGTATATATATACACATACCAAATCGATGGTTGAGCTATCCCTATCAACTTGCACATCTGTCACTATCGTACATGCTTTTCGATCGATATATATATATGTATATATATATATATTGTAGATCTGATGATAGCACATATGTAGTTAGACATGAACCGACAATGGCATTAAAAATGTAGCTTTCGACGATCTGGTTCTAATCATTGTTGTATGATATTCATAGGATAAGCATACTTAGACATACATGCTAAGTGCAACTTATATATATATATGTATGTATTTCTTTATCTATTTATTTATCTATTTATTTATTTGTTTATTTACGCAAACATTCACGACAGTTAGATGCATGGTTCCTCTGTTATGTATACAATCACATATACGATGTCATGCGCCTTGTCAAGTTGAATGATCACATAGACACACGTATCTACAAACATACCCAGGAATGCATGGACAAGGTCTACATATGGATCATGCAAGAGGTGGTATCTATCAAAAATACCTATAACCTTATGTTGCAATCTTGATATGTCTCGTAGAGGTGGATGATAGAGATGAAGATCTGTATGAGGTTTCTCCTCGGTCCTGAGTCTAAGTGGATTTATGATATTGTTTCTTAGCCTACGGTCTGAAGGCTTTACAGATTTGTATAATTACTGAAACTCGCTGGCTTGGTCCGTAGTCCTGGCTCAAGCCTCAGACGGGCTGCACTTTGAGGTCCCTGGACTGGGGGGGGTTGAGGACAAAAATGAATTTAAAAAAAAACAACAAAAACAACATATTTTTTTTTTTTTCCCCCCCCCCCCCCGCCCCCCCCCCGCGCAGGGCCAGGGCCGAGGCCACGGACTCCAGGCCTTTTGGCTCCTTGGTTTAGGCTATCTAATGCTGCAGACACTATCCAGGCCCGTTGTTCCCACAGGAGCTTTCAATCAGATAACACTTTTCTTTGTTCAGTCAGTAATTTTTCCTGTAAACAAATAAATGCAACACTCTTGCACAATCCTAGCTTACAATATGGAAAAAGGGAAAGCTCCAAAACTCGGGCCTGCAGTGCGACGCTTTCAGTATATATATATATATATATATATAGATTTATGTTTTTATTTATTTATTTATTTTCGTTTATGTATACAGATATACATGTAGGTATGAGTTAAACATATGTATCCTATAGTATCCTCAAGACCCTTCTAACCAGTAAGGCCCCTTAGCCCTTGCCCCACTTGCCCGGATGCAGGTCGTGAAGCTTCGGGGTGAAGCCATGCAGGCGCGAGTGGGTCCTTCATACAGTGTACCACTGATAAAGAGCCCGTTCTCTACGGGCCTTGATCTGGGCATCGCTGTTGTAGTCATGATAGCCGTGATAGCCCTTACTCAGGCGGGGAGGTTCGTTAATTGCCGGTCTGCGCGATGGTACAAGGAATGTCAGCTCCGTTCTTCCAGTTAGGCTGTTCCCCGACGTGCCTCGGCTGGTGGCAGGCTAGGTTTGGTGCATGTCATTAGGACACCTACCGACCCCCCATCTGGGACACCATCACAAGGAGCACAAGCTAGTCCATGCCAGTCTAGATCGAACTGAAGCCCAGGTCCACATTTTCTTACATCCCAACCGGTCAGCTCTAGCCGTCTAGCCTAATTTACCGGAACACTCCTTTTCAGGCCGACTGTTGTCGAGCCGACAGAGCCCCGAAGTAGGATGCCACCTATTCAGTCAGATGGTTGCACGCTGAGTTAAACCCATAGAGCTCTGTGTCATACTCTCACGCAAAGTTTTCAGTAGTGCGGAATCTAGACATCTGCCAGGCAACTTGGCAAAGGAAAGACCCCAAACCTTAAAGCCTAGTTCCAGGGAGCGACTTACTTAGTAAACAGGTTATCGGCAGGTTTGGTGGTCCTTCAAGTTTTATGGGAAACCCTAAAACCCGGAACCTTAAAATCCTAAACCCTAAAACCCGGAGCCTTAAAACCCTAAACCCGAAAAGAATCGAAGCCCGAAAACCCTAAACCCTAAAAGAATCGAAATCTTAAAACCCCAAACCCCAAGACATCGAAATCCTAAACCCGCCGTGCACCCTCCGCTTTCAGGAGGCTGCTGAGGCCTCGCAGCAGGCGATGCTCTCCGTTGCAGGGCTCGGGAAGGACCGATCTGTTTATCGGGGTTTCGGGCTTGGGGTTCAGGATTTGGGGTTTGGGGTTCAGGGTTCAGGACTTAGGGTTGGGTTTTCTGGTTTAGGGCTCCTCGTTCAGAGAACAAGTGCGACACATCCAGGCGGGATTCACAGAAGCCTGTGCAAAGGGGTTCAGAGTTTACTGTATAGAGGGTTTTGGGGTTTGCAGGGTCTGGGCCGTTTGGGGTTAGGGGTTTACGGGGTTTATAAGGTTTAGGATTTAGGGTTCAGCGTTTAGGCACGCTGCGCCGGGGCAGCGGGAGGTCGCTCCAAACAATCTCTACGCTGGATTGTGGGGCTCATCGAGAGCCGGCTTACATTCTGTCCTTGTCCGCCCTCCCAGGCACACCCTCCCCATCCCACACAGCTAACAAATCGCTCTCAGTTAGCCACATTGCTGCGGTGTTTGTGCGTGTGTGTGTGTGCGAGAAGCCTAAACAAGAGAAGTCAAAGCGCTTCAAATTGTTCAACACCAGATGACAGAGTACGTAGTACGAACGAGAGCAGAGAGGGGGGGAACCGTACAACATGGCAGCGAATCGCACTAAACCCTGGGCCCTAAGCTCTAGACTTTACCTTAGACCCCATGGATCCTAAATCCGAACAAGCCTAATCTCGAGACGCCCGAGACAACTATAAGCCCAATGCAACACCCGATACACCCACAAACCCATACCCGCTACGGGAGCCTGCAACTTTTCGGGTCTGCTGCGAAGGGCATTACTGATATAGCGGTCCTAGCCGGCGCCGTCATCGCAACCTTCCTCATCATCGTCGGCCCTATCGCCCCTTAAACCGCAACCCTCAACTCCTAAACTTCCTAAACCCCTGACCCACACGTGCTGCTGTCATCCACACTTCTTTTTGGATACATGGTATAGGACTAGAGAGGTGGCTCAAGGCGTGCTCGAACAGGATTAAATTCAAGTCGCACCCATGAGCTCCATAGTACTTCCTTTCCTGTTGGGCTTCACATGTAGGATCCTATAAGCCTATAAGGTAATCCCAAAAAGGAACTGCTATGGAGCCCATTGTAATTTCATGGGGGCCCAAGGGTCTGTAAATCTTGCTTTCGGGCTTCGGGGATCTAGCGAGTCTAGCGTTTCCTTCCCGGCGGCATTCGACATGCTTCATGTCTGGAAAGCTTCTGGCGAAGAGTTGGCCGCCATATCGTCGAAGAAGCTGCAGACTGTGAGGGGTTTGAAGAATCAGCTGGAGGGCTTCTGTGGGCTGCCGCGATTTCGTCAGAGGCTCCTCCTTGATGGAGACAACTTGCCAGATGACATGGTCCTGGACTTCCCCTCAGATCGTGACTTGCAGCTTGTGATGTTGGGCTTTGTTAGCACCTCCCAAGAGCAAGAGGAGGTTATGGAAGCTGCTATCAAGGACGGTTCTGTGGCAGAGGTTGAAAACTTGCTCCAGCTGCCCATGGATCCAAACGCCGGGCGTTTTCACAGTTTTCTTTCCAGCAGCATCGGGAGCATCGAGATCATGCAGCTGCTGCTGGAAGCAAAAGCTGACCCTAACGGCGGAACCCGCCTTCCCCCTCTTCGCCATGCCATACTGCAACATGAGCTGGAGGCAGTGTCTTGGATGCTAGGCATATCTTTTTGAGCTGTTCGGACACGGGACACCCTTTTGCTGCCAGAATCCCAGCGGTATTCCAAGATGCTAATGAATGCTTGAATCCGCAGCAAGTAAGGTGAAATGCCTGTTGAAAGCAGGAGCCAGCCTCGAACAAGGTGCTCTGACCCCGCTGTGCTTCGCTGCGCTCTGCGGACATTCGGGTGTGCTGCGGGTTCTCCTGGTTGCCAGAGCCAACACCGAAGTCCGAACCTACGATGGATCGACTCCGCTCCACCTGGTGACTCAAAACCTCCGGCCAAAGGCTGCCGTGGATACTGCGACCATGTTGGTGGAAGCCGGTGCCATCGTCGACTCCCAGGATAAGTTCGGACAAGCGCCATTGTGGCTGGCATGCAGTCGTGGCCATATGAGGGTGGTGCGCCTGTTCCTGAAGGCTGGGGCCCGCACCAGCATCCGTGACAGGCGTGGAGAGACTCTATTTCATGCCGCCGGTGGCCGCAAGCACATTTTGCGGCTCTTATCGAACTCCAAGTGGTCACGGGCACCGCATGTCAAAGCACGTAGCCGCCAATGAAAAAAAGGTGACTTTACGGTTAGGGTTTCGGGTAGGGCTTCCGACACCACGACAGTCCTTCCCACGCGTCTGTGGTGCTAATGGTCGTCGCAATAGTCGTCATTGTGGGCAGGACCTCAGTATTCTGGAGTCACGGTCCAAGCTTTATATACTTCTCTGAAGAGCACCTGAGGTTTTGGGCTGACTCCGAAGCACTACCAATCCTGAGCCATTCTGGGATTAAAGATAATCTGTGTACCCCTTTTTTTGTGGGGGGGGGGGGCGGGGATCGACACTAAGGATCCTTTCTGTTGAGGGTTTTAGGTTAGGATGTTGAACTTCCATATCAGAGCAGTAGCCCTGTTTCTTACTTATCCGCCGGGCCTTCAGCAAGTGTAGCCCGTGGGAGACAGGGAGTTATCGGCAAAGATGATACGAGACCGACGGGCCTAAGCGTCCATGTACCCATGCAGTATATGCTTAGCCTTTAGACGGGGTATGGGGTGAGTGCAGGGCCGAAGATACACCCTCTACCCTGACCTAATCCCCAAACGTCTGGGCCCTAAACCCTGCCTCCTGCAAAAAAAGGGTTGGAAATAACTACGACGAACATAGGAGATTCTCGACAAGCTTTGCAGCGAGTCCGTGGAAGAGCCTGGTGATGTGTGCCAGGCGCTCCGGGATGAGGTCTCACTTGGTTGGGCTTAGGGAGTGGGTGTGGGGGTAGGGTTTAGGGTTTACGGGATGCTTTGAGCACACTTTGCCCATGGATTTAGAATATGAGTGCGGGGGGACGGTGAAGCCTAAGCTTGCCTCCGAACCCATCAGCCCCGCAGTGATTGGTTGTGCTACCGTGTTGCATGCAACATCGGTGAGAGTGATCGTGCATACTATTTGGTCCCTCATCGATGCTTCAGGTTAAGGGCCCAGTAGCCCTTACCCAAAACCGTGTGGTTTAGGGCTTAGGGTTTTGATGGGGAGTCCCCTAATGATTGAAGGAGCATGGGACGAAGTAATTCGGTTGTTTGAGGGTTTACAACCACTGAGCCTGGTTTAGCCACGCTGCTGAGGACGCGAGAGACCCAATGATTAGGTAGTCACGGGTTAGTAGTCGGGGGAGTCGTTACCCAGACCCCCGGGAGGATCCAAAAAGTAGATCCCTTAATGCGGGTTCCTATAAAGTACCCTTAGTAGTATAGGGCCCCAAATTAGGGGATCTACTTTCTAGATCCTCCCGGGGGTCTGGGTAGTAGTCGGGGGAGTCGTTAATGAGTCAAACTCCATCAAAGCTCAAACTGCGACATTCGGAGGTGGCAAACTTCCTGTTTCCCAACGGCTTCTCTTGCGTGGCCCCGGCGGCAAAGGATATTCTGACACGCTGTTGAGAATTTAGGGATGCTTTATCCTGAATCCGATGTATTTCGAATCTCTACCCAAAACCCCCAAAGTAGGTAAAATAATGGCCCAATACCCATTATTCTACATACTTTCGGGGCCCAGGTAGACTTCCGAAACCCCCAAAGCTTCAAGTCTAGCCGACCATTGCGCAGCGACTCAACGCCTCTAAGCCTCGGTCTAACCCAAAGGCTCTATGTACCTTTACAGTAGATACTTAGGCCTTAAAGGGGTCCCTATATAGGTACTTTCAGGCCTTAGTACATACTATATGGGTACATGGAGCCTTAGGGTAAACCTGAACTGGAAGGTGTGGGGACCCTTTCAGGATTTAAGGTTTAAGGGCACCTGGGTCCTGTGCTCAGTGAGGTGCTGGCATTCATCAAGCCCCACGTGAAAAAAAGGGGGTGGTGTCCAGCTCCTGGCAATTTGCAAACTTGAACCCAACTTTCTTTTCTCCTCTCTCTCTCTCTCTGTCTCTCTCCCTCTCTCTCTTCCTTCTCTCTCTCTCTCTCTCTCTGTCTCTCTCGCTTCTTTGCCATTCCGGGTGCAGCACCCCTCCCCTTCCGTGCACGCAGTACGTAGAGACTCGGGATATATCAGCCATTGGCTCAAAACATAGGGCCACATAGGGCGTTCGAAATTTTGAGAACATCGGTCGCATTGAACGGCTGGTCCTTACAGCAGTGTTTTTTTTTTTTTTTTTGCGAGGCCCTCACTGCATTTGGAATTACTTGATCAGAAGTTTCAACATCAGACATTGCCGAGTTGCACAAGAAAGCCTCCCCCTTAAATTTCAAGAGCCCATGAAGCCCAGGAAGCCGCTCGAACAGTGAGCTTTATATCAGCCTAAAGGCTGTTCAGCATGTCCAGCTTGCATCTTCTTGTCAACACCCATCCTCGAACCTCCTGGCCGAGACGCAAATTCAGCCCAAATACTGTAGTATGCGTCAATATACCTATATGAAACCCTGTAAATGCTAAAACCGTAGAGCCCTAAACGCTAGACCCTTAACACTAAACCGTAAGCCCGAGACCCACAACTAAACTCCTAAACCCTAAACTCCTAAGCCCTAACCTCCTGTCCTAAAGTCTACAACTTACTTAGATGCCAGACTTCACAAGGCGGGCACGCTTACGGCGATCCAGCGTCTCGAGACGAAAGTCAAGGCGACGGCGCCTGAAGCTGCACCCTTTAAAGGGTCTTTTAAGGGGGTTTAGGGTTCCCTTCAGGGGTGCTTTAATGTGTTCTTCAGGCTAATGCGCCAGAGTTTGGAGTGTGTCGTTCTGAAAGCCACATACCTCGCCTGACTTGCTCGAGCTAAACAGAGGTTCCTGCTCCTGTGATTAAGTGGTTCCTTAAGGGCTTTGGTGTTGAGGAACCGAATGGTTGCTATGCAGTTGTTTCTACACAGATCCGCATTCCATCCGGAGCTCTACCTGCCCACCCACCAACACTAGGTATACATACATGCACAAGCACACATACATGTGCCCAGGCAGATGCATTTCTATGTGTGTATAAACACATGTACATCTATCGTCACGACATCTTCTGTTCAATCCTTTGTTGCGTATTCATGTCGTACTATACTATGCAATGCTCACTGTCTCTTTTGTGTGCTGCCCTGTATTGGTAGATCACATCTTATTTCATTATACTTTGGTTTATTTTGTACAAAGAGGTACACAGACAGGTTGACATGAAGATGGTCGATGTAGCATCTGCACACAATCAGCATGTGTATCCACGTGCAGACCCATCATATACACAGACAGACTCCGTACATAGACTTATACATATGCATGTACATCTATGCATGCATGTATGTATGGCTGTCTGTATGTTTACATATACGCGCAATACAGACGCTGACATATGTGTTGTCGCCATACAGCATGCATGCATATACCCAATGCTATACATACATACGCAGGTACCTATATACACATATGTATGTACCCTCTGTGTGTGTGTGTGTGTGCACCTTTACCTGTCTATCTATCTGTCTGTGTATCTCGTCGCCTATGTATCTAACTGTCTATCTATCTATCTAGCTATAGATACATGCATACATACATCTAGTTTGATATCGATCGTGGTCAGATCTGCTGCTCTTCTTCTTCTTGCGATTTTGCTTCCTTGTAATGCTGACCTTGAGCTCTAGCAAACTTACCCTAAGGGTCTAAGTACCTTATTATCATATACTCTCCAACATAGTAACCTACATAACTACTATCCTAAAACCGGGTACCTAATTATTGGCTCCTTTTGTACCCTTGGGGTTATATACCCAAAGCAGACTGAGGAAGGCTGCCTGCAAGCGAAGATGTTGAAGACCTCGGGTGGTTTTCACACGAAGCTGATGGAGCCGGCCAGGGCGGCTTTGGCGCGCATGGGGCGTATGGAGTTTAGGATTTCGGATTTGGGAGTCTCCGAAAATTGGGGGGGGGGGGGGGTTACCTTTTTTTGGGGTCCTTATAGTAAGGATCCTACTATTTAAGGTAGTATTTTAGGGTCCCCCCTTTCCCTTTTTCAGAAACTCCCATTTGGGCTTGGGGGTTTTGGGCTTGGGTCCAAAGGGACCGAGGCCGCAGGACGATAGGCTTTGATTCTTTCTGTGCAGCTATGGCTTTGAACCGCAGCCTGCAGACTACTCTGCTAGAGAGAGCGAGCTAGAGAGAGAGAGAGAGAGATAAGGAGCAGAGGGAGACCGAAAGAGAGAGAGAGAGAGAGAGAGAGAGAAGCAAGGCTTCAGGATTCAGGGTTCAGGCCTTGCGCCAGGGTTGAAGATCCTAGCATAGAAAGTGCGATACAAGCTCCTTTTAGAAGTCGGAGCATGGGTTCAGGATGATTCGACGACTTAAAGAATCTCCTGACCCGGAGGAATGACGTGCAATCTTTTCCGGCGTCAGTTGCCATAGACCCCCAGAGATGGTGTGGATCCGATAGTCTTCATGGGAACAAGCTAGGCCGAACGGCCAACCTAGCAGGCAAGCGTGAACATGGCAAGCCTAGAACTATTGATGGAGCTAGGTACAAGCCCGCACGAAGTACATTTGGATTGCAGGGGTGGGGCCACTCAGCCTCACCACTGTTGATGTGACTATGTCTCACCAGTTGCTAGCTAACGCGGCAACGGGTAACACACGTCGTGTTGGGATGAAGGCCACGCAAGTCCACGAAAGTTTCTGTGTTGATTATACTCGTAGGAAGTGCTACCAAACCCTGAAAGCCTTAAACTCTTGGTTGTAAGACCCGTTCCTGAACATCCAACTTCTGCAGACGTTGGCTTCTCTCAGTGCTATTTCGTTCTAAAAGCATGGCCGATGTCTGGAATCATGACAGCCTTGGAGCAGTTGCACTGGCTGCGAGTTTCCTTGCACTGCACATGGTTTTTTCAGCTCACCATCTTCGTGCCTGCATGGCATGGCTGCGGCTTTGTCGCACTTGGCGCCCTTCCCTAGACGGAGATACAGCAAACAACATCGTCCCGGAGCATCCCGAAGCACAGGGGTGTTTTGATCCCCTGATTGCATTCGCACCGCTAAGCCTTCCAAGGCTTTCCGAGGGCTAGATTATCTCAACTGCAGACCCTAAACTAAACCGCTAAGCCCCTAATCCTAAATTCTTAAATCCTAAACCCTCAACTCCCATAAAAACCTTGAAACCGTAAATTCCTAAACGCTAATTAAACCCTCAACTCTTATAAAAACACCTAGTCCCTAAATTCCTAAACCCTAAACCTTCAACTCCTAAGTTGCAGACCTAGAGCAAGAGCACAAGCATAAAGGCGCAACGGTCCTCGTCCCATTGCCTCAAGCCCAAGCAACCGTAACTGGGTGTTTCCGAACATTAGGGGATCCGAATTTGGTACCCTAAATAGTAGGATCCTGATTAGAAGGACCCCAAAATACGGTGCCCTAATTTTCGGAAACTCCCAACTCCCAAAACAAGGATAAAGCCATCTTCCGAAGATGACCCCTGTGGGGTGAGACTCGAGATGGCTCTCGTCGAGGCAAGGAGAGCCAACTTCTTCAAGCTCCCTGGTGGCACTTTGGGGCCCTGAATAAATTCGAGTAAGGTCCTTTCTCGTACCGTAAGAGTTTCAGAAGAAGGGTTACTACACGGGATACCTCGTTAATATTCTACACGGTTCCTACAGGTGTTTCGAAAGGTTTATTTTTTAAACTTAACGTGCCTTAAAGTATTCCCAGAAGTTTGCCAGGGGAATGCTGTAGGGTGCCCACTGTGAGTTTCTACATGGCTTTATTCATTTCTCGTGTGGTCTTAAACAGACGGCTAGTCCTTGGTAGGGGATGCTTGCAATCACAACGAAGGTTAGCTCGCTTCGGCACCTTCGCTGGAGCTGGTGGGTTGACATACTTCATCTACGCGTACATCGTGAACCCGTGTCTTGGTGAGGCAAGCTTTGCAATCACGACCTTGACCCTGGGCATTGTCTTGAATTGTTTTCTTTAGCCTCGTATAGTCCCAAGAACGAGCAAGCACTTTTTATACTTTCAATAGATATTACGAACGGCCGAGGCTGTCTAGACTTGAGAAGGAAGGACCTCCCTAAACCGTAAGCTCTATACACTTCAGGCCCTAAGCCGTGCACCGAACAGCCCAGGATCATGTATGTTCAGTTTACAGTGGTTGCAAGTCAGAGCCTGGAGCTCACCATAGACATCGCAGAGTTTGGCTCCCTGGTTGGACTTTGTTGCTGTTGGTTTCGTTTTGAAACGGTGGCTCCGTTCTTTCTCGGAGCAAGGTACTTGTTTGATTGCCCCAAAAACTCCATGCAGCCTTCAAGCCTGCAGCGCAAGCCTGCCTATCAGCCACCCCCCTGCCTTCGGCCACAGATCCGAAACCTCCATGACAACTTATGTCACCCTTGAAACCCGTGTTGGTGTTCTGGGCCTAGGGGCCCGGATCGAATCGCGGTGTCCAGAAGTCAGTGGCAAAACGTCTATGCAGGGGAGGGGGGAGAAGGGAGAGGGCTGGAGGGGAGAGGGAGTTCTTGAGAAGGCACCGTCTATCAGCTCAAGCCCTGAATCATCAGCTGAAGGTCTAAGCTACGCTTTAGGACTTTACGGGATAACCCTAATCCCTCAACGTATACATCCTAGACCTCAAAATTCCACCCCCTGAAGGTTGCTGCAGCTTCTATGGGCTGCTTCTGCTTTGCTACTTGGAGCTGCCCTTCATTCAGGAGGCGCACATCGACGCCAAGGCATCAGGGTTCTTGGCACCCCAGGGTCTATGTTTTTAGGGTTTAGGGTGTGATTTCGGTGTACCACTTGGGCGTGTATGCTCAACAGCTTAACTCTATAAACCCTGAAGCCTAAACCCAGATGTGCCTTGAGTTTTCCTGGAGCGTAAGCAGACGCAAAAAGGAGCTAACACTAAAAAACGAAAGCAGAAACCCTGAAACCTGAGAACCCTTATGCTTGAGGGCTTCGGGTTACGTATTTTCAGCTTGCGGCCCTGCGCACGAGTGCGAAGCCATTGCTTGTAAGAGCTTGCTAAATGCCCCAAGGCCCAACCTTCAGGTTGTTTCTGGTTTGTGCGGTTTAGGGTTTAGGGTTTTTGTATTTAGGGTTTAGGGTTCGGGTTTTCTTGTACTTATGGTCGAGATAGCTTCGTGTATCCTTCTGAAGAAGAAAGAACAGCTTTCTAGCGGAACCGCGCACTGTCATGAGAGCTTCCCAATACAGCCAGAGCGCAGGGGAAGGTGTGGCTGTCTACCCTTGGAAGCAGCGGTCGTATCAGTGGTGATGGTACGGAACGTAGGATAAGATGAATGCCTGTCAATGCCAACAGCCTTTAGCTTTTGGCGTCCTTGTTGACCATCTCCGGCAAACTGCAACTAATGTGCAGCACTGCAGCGGCCGTCGGCATCATCGGAATCACCAGCAGAGGTACCACTGCCAAGTGCACATAATAACAATCATTAAGGATAATAATAATAACCAATAACCTACGACAAGTATCGTGGCAGGTCATAATACAGCTTTCGTTCGAGCAGAAGAACGACGTGCTTGTGTCTGTAGCTGAATACCCAGCTCCGAATTCGCTGCGCAAGTAAGATTCCCTCGAACTCCGATAGTAAGCGGGACACGCGGCAACAGCAACTCTCGAATGGCTAAACTAAACAACAAATCCTGACCCCACCCTAAACCCTGAACCCTACACTCGTCACCTGCAGGCCTATGACACCTGTTGCACAGCTATTCGGTTCATCCTCGCAGCGGTCGCCCTGAACACTAGGCAGGGCTTCTGAACACACCCAGGGGTTTGGGGTCAAGGGTTGGGCCCCCACATGGGCTGGGTTTTGGCCTTCGAGTTTGTTTCGGGCTTTAGCGTTTGAGGTAAGATGATTAATTAAGGTTTTAGGGTGTCGGGTTTCGGGCTTCCCCCTATCTCACCTTGCATCCGTCCTTCCTTGGTGAGAGAATCCAGATTCTAAGCCCTAACTTCAAGACTTGCTATGTGGTTCGGGGCTCAGGCGCTACCCATGGGCCCCATAGTAGTTCCTGTTTTGGATTACCTTATAGGAATCTATATATGAACCCCAAAAAGGAACTACTTTGGGGCCTTTGGGTAGGGAGAGTCCCTGAGTAGAAAACCGAAGGCCGGCGGCTCGTCGAAGCAGTTGTGCAGCGTTCTAAACCGCTTCTGTGGGAGTTTATACAAACGTTAAAATTGGTTGGTCCGCGTCAGCTGGGTTCGGTGCGCGACAGTGGCGCGTCAGTGAACGCGTTAGCGAGTACAAAAAATGCCGGCGCGCTAGATGCTCCTTAGCGCGAGTCAGCAATGCGACAGCTTCGGCGCTAGTGTCATCTTGTTAGAACAGCATGACAGAAGGGATTTGAACACCGCACACTTGTAGTAGTCGTAGTAGTTACCGTCGTAGTAGTAGCAGCACTACTACTAGTAGTATAGTATTAGCACTAGCACTGGCACTAGCACTAGTGCAAGTACTCGTATATACTAGTACTGGTACTATTATTAGTCATTAGTAGTCGTAGGCGTCGTCGTATTAGTCGCAGTAGCAGTCGTCGTCGTAGCAGTAGTGGCAGTGGTAGTGGTTGTGACTTGGGTAGTGGTAGTAGTAATAGTTGTTGTCTTCGTCGTCGTCGTAGTCTTAGTACTTAGTTTTCGCGATGGAGCATCGATCTTGCGAGTACTCGCTGCTGTGTCAAGAGGAGGGTCCGAGCCGGGCGCAAGGCATACTGCGATGCCGTAGCCCCCTAGCCTTCTCCAAAGCTTCCTTTAGCAGTCAGTAGGAGAGTAGGTAGGCTTCAAGGTTTTTATTTTCCATCCTGTAAGTAGTAAGTATAAGCCCAAGAGTTTTCTTATACGTTTCCCTAAGATACTGGAAAACCAAGTTCTATCCCGATCTTGCAGGTTGTCTTTTCCGTGGCAGCTGCTGATTTCGGCGGGACAGCCACTAACCTTTAGTAGAACCCTTTGCCCAAATTCCTGAAACTGTTCGAACGATCTTGAACCAAACTCACCTTTTTCCGGCAGTGCTTCGATGTGCCCAGAACCCCAAAGACCCTACACCTTGGGTACTGTCCCCGCTCAGTAACAGTTGGATAATATTCAGAATATAGATATATTAGGACCTTAATAGTAGCCCTATTATAGACTGTTACTGTATGCCCAAACCCCCCAAAAGGATCCAAAAAAGTAGATCCCTTAACGGGGGTTCCTATAAAGTACCCTTAGTAGTATAGGGCCCCAAATTAGGGGATCTACTTTCTAGATCCTCCCGGGGGTCTGGGTATGGGGTCCTTATTCTAAGGACCCCAAAATATAAGGTACCCCTAATTTTCCGAAACTCCCCTATGGGGGCAGTACCCAACGCCTACACCGAGGGTTTGGTCGGACTTCCGAGCGCCTGGTGGCGTGCATCATCCGGCCTTCAGCGTTTTTCTGCAGGGCGTGGTCCTCGGCCTGACAATTCTTGGATCCTACACACTGGAGACTTGCCCTATAGGGATCTAAGGACTCATATATTTAGGCTTTTGGGCCCGAAGACCATACTACATAAGGCTTTTGGGCTATTTTGATCCCTAGGGTTGGTAGCTGAGTAGCCAGACCCCCGGGAGGATCTAGAAAGTAGATCCCCTAATTTGGGGCCCTATTCTACTAAGGGTACTTTACAGGAACTCCGATTTAGGGATCTACTTTTTGGATCCTTCCGGGGGTCTGGGTAGGTAACATTTTAAACTTTTCTGGGCTGGTTGTATCATACCATAGTCAAACTGGGCTGTTTTTGCACTAAGCCCTATAAGCCCTAACCCTCAACCCTGAACCCTAAACCCTATCCCTCAAACCCTAAGCCTCAACCCTGAAGCCTAAACCCTAAACCCCAACCCAAAACCTAAACCCTCATCCTCAACCCTCAACCCTGAACCCTAAATCATAAACCCAAAGCTTAAACCCTAGACTCAGCGCCCAAGGAGACCTGCGTGAGGTGCAGCATCCGTGCGCAGTTTCACTGCTCAGATGCCGAGTCCTTAATGGTGAGCCACCAGCCGGCACGAAGTTTAGGGTTTTAGGGTTTAGGGTTTTGGGGTTTAGGACTTAGGGCTTGGGGCTTGCAGGAACTTGGGTTTAAGGCTTAGGGCCTTGAGGTTTGAGGGTTTAGGGTTCCTTTTCATTCCCGCTTCAGGATCGTCATAGAGGTAGCTACTCATGACTAGTTATTGTGGGGCTTGGAACTTAAGCCCTAAACCCTAAACCAAGCAAGGCTTTCGTCAGCTGCTGAGGGGTGTCTGCGATGGGGAAGTCCTGTTGGATAGCAACCTGCGCATACACAGCGTCTCTGACTGCCTGAAGCACCTCCTGATGAGTAGCACCAACATGCATGGCAAGTCCTTTCAGCAGTTGCTTGATCCGGCTGATCTGCAGAAGTTCCGAGAATTTATGGAGACCTCTGCGAGCCAGACCGAGCAGAAGAACGGTCCACCGACATGCTTGCATGTGTCCTTGCTGGGGGCGGCAAGTACGCGGATCCCAGTCGACTTATATCATGTACCTTACGAATACAACTAGTATGTTTTTTTTTGGTCGTTTTGGGTGGCATAGCGCCTAGATAGTTGCAAAGGTTTCAATCTTTGACTTCTTCTGGGAAACTGGACCAACAAGGTACCCATATCCAAGCTCTACGGATCTCATGATCCCTACCATCTCATCGCGCTCAAGGATTCCTGTCATTTTAGAGCAGCACCTTCAGCTTTTCGTCTGGGACAACTTGAAATCCTCGGCGTGAGCATAGGAAGCTTCGTACCCTCGCCGCACAAATCGCGTGATGGTGCTTGTGTATGGGTGTACTATTGTCTAGTATCACCCTGAACCCTAAACCCTTACGACATGCCTCGCCTGGATTGTCCGAGTTTGAGCACGGAAACCCTTATGGACGAGAAGACAGTTCTTTAATCCGACTTCACGGGTTGGGTTCAGTTGGCTTGTGTGGGAAGGTGGTACTGATACAATTCGGGAACTCTTTGTGGAAGTGCTAGCTATCGGTTACTAGGACGAGTAGTCAGCTTAGGCATCGGATGACGACGACTCCTAGTCCAGTTCGAGGAACTTCCGACCGACTTACAACTGTAAATCGCCAACGCTATACAGGCATGTTGTGCGCGTGTATACATACATCCTTACTTACTTATTTGCTTGCTTACTTGTTGAGAGCCATACATACATACATACATGCCTACACGCGTACATGCATACATGCATGAATGCATACATACACACACATATACATACGTATATATATATATATATATATATATATATATATATATACATACACATGCATATACATATACACACATACATACGTATATGCATACGCACTTATGTGTTTGGCGGGTTGTAGCATCGTAGTCTTATCAGTTTATAGAGATGTCCATGTATGTTTCATTGTTCTATATAGGTTATGCAGTAACATCGTTGCTGAAGTCTCCGGCATGTCAAACCCGAAGTCTGTGCTTTCAAACGCTGTGAACCCTAGACGCTCGAAGCGCCATAGCTCAGTCAACCCAAAGCCCTTTTCAAGCTTCAGGGTTTAGTGGGGTTAAGGTTTATAAGCAACCAGCATGTCGGTCCCGGTCAACATGATTGCAGATCGTGGTGTGGCTAGACTTGAGTCCAGTTGCCAAATATGTAAACAACTATGATTTCGTCATCGCTGAACCCCAAGCGCCTGAAGCCGCGGCTCCAACCCGAAAGCTCGAAAGCCCAAAGCCCAACCCCAAGGAATCATGCCCTAAACCCCCAACCCTAACAACCTAAACCCTCATCCCAGAATCTCCGAACCACCCAAAGAGCCAGGAGGATTCTGACCAAAGAGCACCACCCGAAGAAGCCGTGGCCTTTCCTCATCGGCATCGCGTCTTCTCGGGCAGTGGCTTGATTTTCCGATGCCCAAACTTTGAGCTGTTTGGGTTCTTTTAGTTTAGTAGCTTGTCGGAAACCCCATAAACCTAATTGCATAGATCCTATACCCTAGACACCCTAACTTAGAGTACGATCAAAAGAGTAAACTCTAAACTCGAGGGTGTCCTAGTAAGTCGAACCCTTTCTCCTCTTCGGCCAGTCGAGAAGCAAGGTGAGGGCGGCGCACTCGTCACAGGATTGCAAGCCCTCTTCGGTAATCTTTCAGCGTCTCGGCTTTCCAAAATGGGTTTTGAACCCTTGAGGGGTGCAGGGCTCGGCCTTTCACAGGATGAGGGGGAAGCTCAACTCCGAGCTCAAGCCAGCCGTTTCCACAGCTGGGGGGATGCCTTTGCCAGGGCTTCTTGATTTCAGCCGCATTCGGCTTCCAGGATTTCACTAGTTCAGGGTTTTATGGTTTTGGGGGTTTGGGTTTTGGGGTTGAGGGTTCCTGGGTATTGTGTAGGCTGTACGTACGGTTGTCGCGTTTTCAATGCTTTGGGCTTTGGGTGACAGGTACGGGCACTTGTGGTAGCAACAAAACTACTATTGACCAAACAGGAGAAACAATAGCAGTAGCAAGTGTGACTAACGCAATCGTCACCCTGTAGGTTACCCTAGCACCCCAAACCCTAAACCCCCTGAACCCCTGGTTACCCTGCCACTCACCGTAAAGCTGCAACTCTACACCACCAGCCCTTGAGCCTGAGCCTTGAAACCCTCTCAAACCCGCCCACCACCCGTGCCACCAGAAGCAAACTTCGTCATAGTTGGGCAACATTTTACATGTTGTACGGGTACTTAAAAGCCAGTAAGGGCTAAAAATGCAAATCTTCAATACTATCCCAACCATGAACTAAGACTGTCAATACTACACCTCCGCTATCCTACTGTCTGGTTCTTAGCAGGGAATGGGGGAATGGGTTATCGAGACTATTACTGGGGAGTATATAGGGACTACCAAACCCCTAAACCCCTAAACCCCTATGACCCCTAAACTCTAAACCCCAGAAAGAACCATCCTAGGAGATGAGCTTCTTGCTCGATCCGGCCACGGGTTCCTGCGATGTACATCGGGTGCCTGCAAGCACGGAGTCCCATTATGCTATATAGGGGCCTAAAAAAATTACCTATAAAGGTTCTTAAAAAAGGGTCGTGTTCGGGTTTCTATCAGGGGTAATCTGGGGGGTGTTGTATAGGGGCCTAGACAGTTGCGATTTTAATTGAGGGGGTTCCTTATGATTATTCTTATTGCAGTTTCATGGTCCTGATTAGCGAACCCTGCTCCGTTAATGAGGGTTCCGGTGGGAATCCGAAAACTAAGCAGGCCCGTTAAGAACACCGACATATAGTTGGAGAAAGTAACTCCGGGGACATCACTGCAGAAAGGTAAGTGTCTGAATTCTTGTGCCTTGCCGGGGACCCTAACCAAGTCCTCAAACCCAAAAACCCTACTGGCTTTAGGGTTCAATAAGGGCTCCATGAGCGTGTTGATCAGGGTTCTGCAAGGGTATTGCAGGGTGTTTCGAGGGTTTTCCAGAGGTCTATACTGTAAACAAAAACTCCATTCTTGACCACGAGCCGAAACTCTAAATCCTTTTCCATGAACCTCTAAATTCTTTTTCCCTATACACCTTAGGCCTTAGGCTCCAAACACTCGTAAAGGAGCCCTTAAAGGAACCCTTAAAGGAACCCTGAACGGCCGTCCCCTATTTGGTGAAGCTTGGGGAGGCACAGCTTCGATTTCGACACCGACCCGGGAAGGAGATCAATCTTCGTTCCTTGGTTTCGGGGTTAGGGTTTCGGGGTTGAGTGTTTAGTGTCTTCTGTGTTTCCTGTTTCTTCAGGGTACCCGGCAGTCGCAACAGGCCTGGATGCAAAAGTGTTTAGGGTTTAGGCTTTCGGGGTTCAGAGTTTAAGGTTCAGGGGTTCGGTTCAGGGTTGAGGGCCTCTCCTGTGTGTGTTTGGCTAGACCGGGCTGCTGGACAACAAGGCCTGTTGCATCATTCGTGGGAGCCCCGTTGTTAGGGGATATGGCGTACGGTCGGATGGACTGGAGCGCAGTATCAGCAAAGGGTTTAGGAATGCGTCCTCGTTCCGTGGGGCGATGACGCCTAGAACAGAGGCTTTAAGACATAGACTAGGTTTTTTTGTTACCACGGGTTGCTATATCGGTCTATGATAAGGGCCTTAATCATAGAAACAGAGTGTGTGGGTATATCGTAGTGTAAGCATAATCAGGAACCCTATAAAGAATGGCATTGGAAACTACTCGCTGCGATAGAGGATCTGTCATCCTTGTTTTGTACGACTTTATGACTGTCTCAGTGTGTTTTAGAAGGTTGCTTCGCCCCTCGTGCTGGGTGTTCGAAAGTGTTAGGTTGCCATTTGTTTTCTTTCCGTTTTCGGTGGCAAAGATAAGTTAAGGATCGGAATGCTCAGCATCTGTCTGCCTTAGGGTTCCTGAAGGGAACTATGCTAGATTGTTTCAACCAGTACAGAAGCGGCAAAACCCTCATGAAATCATCAAGCTTGGTTGTTGGTGAGGCCTCCAGCATGTACCGAAGAACAGCAGCCTTTTCAACACCATCCCCTAAGCCGTGTAAAGCCTAAACCAGAGTGTGAGTGTCAAAAAAGCATACACCAGAAATGGACGCCCCAGGCTCGATCGTGTTGCCCACAGATTGGGCCGCTGGCGTTTGATTCAGAAGAACGGTATGGGGTTTGGAGTCATGCATTGGTTTTGGCTTAAGGGTTCAGGGTTTGTATTCAATTGGGCTTAGCAGGTCTTTTAGACAAGGTGCAGGCCCGTTGGCGGGGTGGGTCTTAAGACCGGTGTCGTAAAGTTCCTCCCGTTCTCAAACTCCTAAGTTCTAAACCCCCATTGCCTAAACCCTAAATCCCAGTAGTACCCCTAAACCCTAAACCATCAGTACAGCCTTTTCAGTTGTTGCTTCGACGTTACCCTGCATTGCGGGCTTTGTCCTTGCTAGGTAGGAGGGAAAAAAACCATCAGTTCAAAAACCAAGGCCAGCATACACGAGGCGGTGACACAGTTCTCAGAACGACCGGATGCGGCACAGACGACCTCATATGCACATCGTTTGCCTACCATAAGGCTGGACACACTACTTATGTTTTGGAAGTTTTCAAGTTTGCATTGGGCATCTGCTTCTTCTAAACCTTCTGGCTTTCTGGGCTGAGTAAGGTGCAGAATGCTGGACCGCTGCTCCCGGATCTACAACTCAGCTCACCTGGTGGAGCTTTCTGCCCATTCTCGCATCAGCAGGAAGGTATGGTTGCGCTTGGGCGACTTGGTGGAGGGCACAGCTTCTGGTGAGCGTCGGCACTTGCACAGAGTGCTACCGGAGCTTCGACGAAGCCGAAGCCAAACGAGTGTATAGTTTGCCGTGCTGCCTGGAGGGTTGGCGAATGTTGAGGCTTCCTGCATTGCAAATTTTCGCTTCTCGTGGTTACAGAGACCCCTATGACTGGGATACTACGGGCAGGAGGTGCCAGAGTAGACGTTTTCAGGCCTAAACCCCCAGACTTAAACCCTAAGCTCCTAACCCCCCAAGAAAGCCTTAAAACTCCAAACCCTTAAACCCTGAACCCTTGAACCCTACACCCTAAACCCCAGAACGCCACACTGTGGAAGCCTCAACCAACACGGGCCAGATGTAAGATCCCGCCCCTGGGATCCAAAAAAAGGCGGATCCCTGGTGGGTGCAGCCTCTGGCCCAGAGGGTGGTTCTCTATTTTGGGGTTCCTTTTTTTGGGGGTCCTTGCAGGGATCTATTTATGGGTAGTTCTCCATTTTGGGGTCCCTTCTTGGGCTCCTTACAGGGATCGATAAGGTTCTTTAAATCAAGGTCCCTTTTAGGGGTCCTTAAAGGGATCTATAATGATTACTACAGGGTTTCTATAAGCTGGGGTACTATATGGGTAGTTCTCTACAGGGTCCGGTTTAGGCTGCTTTCTTACAAGGGCGCCGTACTGCTTTTGCGGCCTAGAAAGGAACCCACATTTAGAGAGCTACCCGAGAGACTAGCCATGATCAGACGCGTGGGAATGACTCCTTCACAGACATCTCTGTATGTGTGTGCGCGCACGCATGTGTGCATATCTGTATATACATATGTTTTTGCTGCAAGTACTTTTCTCAGTTCCTTGTCGTTTTAACCAAGACGACCACCACGCAGTTTGCGCAGTCCGAAGATCCCATCCAGGGAAGCAGCCGGCACTCAGCTTAGGATGAGAAGGCATATGGGCGTTTCCGAGAATTGGGGGGTACCTTTGGGGTCCTTATAATAAGAAACCTCCTCTTTAGGGTACTATATTAGGGCCCCCTAGTTTCGGAAACTCCCATATTGATAGACTTCAAAACTTTTAGAGGTGAGTTAGAGCTGTTCGAAGAATGCTCGTTCCAGCCGTTCGCCTGCACTCTTCACCCGTTCAGCGTAAGGGCGTGGTTTAATTTCAGCATTAGGTTGCGTGTTAACATGATAACAGGCTAGGTTTCGGATGATCCCTGCCATTCTGTTTGCAACAGGACAGGCGGACGGCTAATTTTGATTGTACAGCCTGGGGACAGGTCCTGCCAACGAAAAGAGACTGGACCGAAACCCGACCTCCTAGACCCTTAAATTGAGGCTTCGGGTTTAAGCTTTGGGTTCTGGAGTTTGTTTTTAAGGCAAACATGGAAAGCCTGGAAAGCACGGTGCCTGTGATTAGGGCAGAGGATAGACCCTGAGCCCTTCCCAAGATAGCAGGGTTTAGGGTTTAGGGTTCTCCTTCATGTTAACATTCGACAGAGACACTTAAGCCCCTCAGTTAAGGATTAGTGTTCCTTGAATTTGTAGTAGCCACCGCCCATCAAGAACCCATAATTCAGTGAAAGAATGCACGGGCTTTCAACAAGTTGCCACGTTATACATGACATTCCATACCTTAAGGACGAAATGAACCCTCAAAGGGTTTAAGGTTCATAAGCCATAAAGGGATTCATAGTATATGGGTATAGGGCCCTACTTTTAAGGGTCATCTGGTCCTTCAGGTAAACCCCGCCCTGACGAACCCTCGCTCCGAAGAGTTGGAGACAAGGGATATGGGAGTCTCTGGGTTTGAAAAGACTGAAACCCTCAGCGGCATGCCCTAGAATAGGGGCCTAAACAACTACGCATACTGTGTAGGGGCTCCTTATAAGAAGAGCATAAAGGGCCCCAAAACTCTGCGTAAAATGATTAAAGGCCCCCTACATTGTACGAAATACTACTCTTATAGATTCCTTACAGTAGCCCTGTAATAGATCCCTTTAAAAGGAACCGTATTCTACTATTTAAGGCCCGTATATTATCCTACCCTTATAGATCCCTTATAGTAACCCTTAGTAGATCCCTTTAAAAGGAACCGCATTCTAATTATACAAGGCCCCTACATTATACTACTCTTATATAGATCCCTTACAGTAGCCCTTAATCGATCCCTTCAAAGGAAGTCTATTCTTATCATATTTTTTTTTTTTTTACGTCTCTTTGTTCGCAAAGCTCAGGAAAAGCTCTTGGCAGCCTTGAAGGATCCCGTTTTGCAGAGGGTTTCAGGGGGGTTTAGGGATTTTTAGGTTTTTTAGGGTTTGGGGTTTAGGGGTTTAGGGTTTTTAAGGTTTTTTTGGGTTTAGGGGTTTAGGGTTTAGGTGTTTAGGTTTTTTGGGGTTTCGGCGTTTAGGGCCCTCTGAGTCGCTGCACACCGGATGAAAAAGGGTTCAGAGGGCTTCAGGTTTAATGTAGGAGCCTGATTAAGAAACCCTGGGCCAAGAACCCCCCAAAATAGTAGGATTCATATCAGGAACCCTAGTAAAGACCCAAGGTTGCTTAATCAGGTTCCTACATTAGGTTTCGGAGGTTTCTGGTTTCGAGCACTTTTAAGACATTGGGATTTGTCGTAGACTGGCTACCCAAAGGCCCCGAAGTAGTTCCTTCTTGGGGTTCATATTTAGAATCCTATAAGGTAATCCCAAAAAGGAACTACTATGGAGCCTATGGGTAGAACTGAGTCCGGTAGCGAAGAAATCATATCGGGGTTTGCGGCTTTTGGCCTGGGCTTCAGTGTGGAAGTTGCGTCTGCTGTCGGCAAGCCTTCGGGACAGCGCGTGCAGCCCATGGTCGAAACTGGCTGAAACCAAACCTTCAAGCCCTACGAAACCCGAAGCCCTAAATTCCTAAACCCGAAGCCCTGTCCGAGTGTGCCCGGAACCCTTGACTCGAAACCGTAACCCTAAAGTCTTAAACCCTGAACCCCGAAACCTTCAACCCGAAACCCCTAAATCCTGAATCCTAAACCCCTTAAACTCTAAACTCTCAAACCCTACCTATAGTCTGCATTGAAGCTCCTTTTTTGGTTGAACCAATTATATAGTTAGGATCCTATAAGGTAACCCAAAACACGAACTACAATGGAGACTATAGGTACATCCCGAAGCTCTGCTTTGAAGTCAGGATGCCGAGCCAAAGATGAAGCCTCCACGATGCGACTTGGCATCCGGCGCTGAGGGCCTAGAGTGTATAGGGTTTATCGTGTTTTGGGCTTAGGGTATTCTAGGGTTTAGGGTTTTGGGCTTAGGGTGTATGGGTTTAGGGCTTATGCCTTTTGGGCTTAGGGTTCAAGGTTTATCGGGTTTTGGGCTTAGGGTATTCTAGGGTTTAGGGTCTTGGGCTTAGGGTGTATGGGTTTAGGGCTTATAGCTTTTTGGGCTTAGGGTTTAGGGTGTATCGGGTTCTGGGCGTAGGGTTTAGGGTTTATTGGGTTTAGGGTTGAGGGTCTATCGGGTTTTGGGCTTAGGGTTTAGGGTCTATCGGTTTTTGGGCTTAGGGTTTAGGGTTTCTCAGATTTTGTTGGGTTTAGGGTTTATCGGGTTTTGGGCTTAGGCTATTATAGGGTTTAGGGTTTATCGGGTTTTGGGCTTAGGGTGTATTGGGTTTAGGGCTTATAGCGTTTTGGGCTTAGGTTTTATGGGTTTATCGGGTTTCGGGCTTAGGGTTTAGGGTTTGTCGGGTTTTGGGCCTAGGGTCTATGGGTTTAGGGCTTAAGCGTTGTGGGCTCTGGGCTCACGTGTTTAAATGGCTTAGGGTTTAACCCGGGTTAAGGGCTTATGCGGTTAAGGGCTTGTAGGGCTTTAGGTTCGGGGCTTATAAGGTTTAGGGTTTCTTTAAGTCTTCAGGTTTAAAGTTTAAGGTGTGTAGGGCAACGGTTTTTTGGACAGCTCCTTATCTTCACATTTTTCTATTGTAGATCACGGTCTGGCGAAGTCTAACGTAGGAACCTGATGAAGGGACCTTTGGCCTTTATTACGGTTCTTTATATGCATGCTACTATTTTGGTGTTATAGGCCCAGGGTTTCTTAATCAGGCTCCTGCGTTAGGCTGTTTGGCCTTGTTGGTTTCAGGCGGGTGCTTGGTCTCGGACCCTTTACCTTACATCCTAAACCATCAACTCCTAAACACTAGACCCTAAACTCCTTCGCGAAAACCCCTAAGCCCCTGAACCCTAAACTCCTACAGTAGAAGCCCAAAAGTTGGAAACCCAATAGCCTCAATCCTTAAGACTAATGTATACGGTATCCCAGCACTATTTCGCCTGAACAGGGTTTCCCACTTTATGGGGTTTACTGTAAACCCCAAGGGTCAGAGCTTTGGCTTCAAGGCTTTAGGTCGATGTGTTAAGGGTCTAGGAGTGTGCACCTGGACCCCAAAAGTATGTAGAATAATGGCCTTTTATAGGTATTCTTTTGGGGGGTTTAGGTATAATAGCCATCCTTCAAAGTAGAATCATGTAGCAGCTACCTGGACCCTACAAGTATGTAGAATAATGGCCTTTTATGGGTATTGGGCCATTATTTTACCTACTTTGGGGGGGTTTAGGTTTGTAAGCCTTAACAGACTCCTCAAACTTCTCAACGCTAAACTGCAGGCACCAGCGACCCTCATTGGGCGAAACTCTGTGAATACGCACTCCTACCATCCCGAGGCTCTGACTTACCTTCGGTTAGTAGGAAATGGAGGAATGCGGCACCATTATAACTACTATTTCTACCATTCTTCCATTCCCTACTAACCAACGGTAAGCTGAGGCTTGCAGCGCAGAGCCCGGGACAGTCAAATACTGGCCTGTTTACTACGATTGTTCAAAGCGCATGGCTAGGACAACAAAGCCCATCATAGCCCACACGCCTCCGAATTCCAATTGCCCCCGCCCCCCCCACCCCCCGGCAACTAGTGCATGAATTCTGTAGTAGTCACCATCTCTTATATAATCCAAAAAACTTACTAACAAACATCAGTGATTACTTTTGAACTCCCAAACCCTTGATGCATGGCCCGCGTGAGATGTGTCGTTCGGGCCGTTTAAA